TATATCCAAAGCCACCTAGACGTTCCACGTTATTGCGATGGATCACATCCCATCTTTACCCAAGTCATCCAAGGGAATATAGTGAGCTGTTGATTTGGGTGTACCTGTTCACTGGCTAGCTCGTCGAAAACGGCTAAACCGTGGCAGAGGAGTATGAAGAGTGCGTGTTCCGTCGGTTCGGGGCCATTAAGGCGATCAAGCACGATAGAGAACCCAGTTCATGTCAGATTTCTTTTGCGCCTTTTACCGCATGATTGACCAGAAACAGCGAGCGACTATGGCGTACCGATTACGGACCAATGGTACAGCAGAAAGGATTGTACTGACTATCACACGGTCCATCAGAATGTATGTGTCAGAGATGGACCAGAAAGACTGGGTACCTATGCAGAAAGGCTCACCTTCGCGTTGAACAAGGCACAGGACTGGACCAGAAAAGAGACGCCATTCTACTGGTACACGACTGAATTGCTTAAAGGTACTTTAGAAGCCACCATACCGTTGAGCAGCACCAATCGGCGTGAATGTGAACCCCGCCGATGACGATATAACTTACTGCGTCAGTATCGCCGAGCGAGAGAACAAGTCAACGAATTATTGCGATTAGCGATGAAAAGTCGAACCCAGGCCCACAATGAGGAGGTGGTTGATGGTCATATTGAGGTAGAGTTCCAAGTCTGGCTATACTTGGACCAGGTCAAGGAGGGCTATGCTTAAAAGCTGGTATACCTATGGCATGGGCCGTTCTGAGTATGGGAACTGGTAATGAAATATGCTGCTTGCTTAGACATCAGTGAGACTGACTACCGTATATACTCGTTGGTACATATCGAAGTTAAAGCTGGTCCAGCAATGCCCAAATAGACCAGATACGGTAATGGTGGTAGACGAAGCGGATCGGGTATATTTTAATGAGGCCCTATTGCCAGAAGACGGTTGGGTTGCGGAATTGGAAAACGATGAATACGAAGTGGAGAAAATTCCAGACAGGCGTATGGGAAGGAAACTCGGTACTGACGGATACAATGTAATACCTGGTACATTGGAAAGGATATCATGGGTAGATTATATGTACCTCAATTGCGGAGGATTGCAAAGGGACTTTGAGTGCAGGCACGATACTCGGTACCGCTTCGAGGCAATAAAGAGTCATGAGGAGTAGTAAGACGAGTTTAAATGGGAAGGCCAAGATGATGCAAGAAGGATGCGGTATTTTTATACATTCACGAACGGGTCAAGTTGTATATTCGAAAGTGCAGCAGCACAGAAGAAAATAAGAAGTTTTGTTAAGTTGCGACGAGCCTAGCTGGGGCCTGTACCCTCTGAAACCACGACCCTAGGTCCCCGAGGGTACAGGGTCCCAAGGGTACAGAATTCACTCAAACGAGGCTTAAAGAAATTAAATTGGAAGTTATTATTTAGAAGTAATAAAGTGTAATGACTACTATGGATACGTGAGGATCTTCAAAATTTTCTACGCGCTGTTGCTCGTACGTAATTTGCCAGAGAGACGAGGAAACTCAAAGGCGGGGTGCTCCTGAATGCGCTTTCGATAGAACACGCGCCAGGGCTCAGTGTCGTCTGCTGTCTGCAACGCCTCCAACAAACTCGCCTGAGGATCCCCACCGTCGACACTCGGGTGCCAAACTGTCAGCCGGCGAGTCGGAATCATAGGTCGGAAATAGTATGTCCAGGTCACAGTGACCTGCCACCATTCCTTCCAAGACCTTCTCGAGCGCCTCTATCTCAGCCCCACAGCCTTGGACCGCCGTTTCTTCCTCACATTGAAGAGACGATAAGCGTATTTGTTCTTCGCACGAAGTGCCACAGAGAGAGGGAGCAGGAAGTGCGGGAAAAGACCAACGGTCAGGTGCCTGAGACCTGTTGAAAGGATCACGAGAGGTCACTAGCGAATAAAAGGCTTGTAAGTTGGTAAACACAACGGTTTAAGAAACACATGGAAACTTACTGCTATTTCAAAGGGACAGGAGAAGGGTGTACGGGATCTTGCCGTAGATCGGAAGAACAGCGCGTAGGGGACAGCTGTGGAGAAGTGCCAGGGAATTCAGGGCACCAAAAAATATGGTCAGGGAGCAAGATAAATCGAGGTCACTCTCTCGAGGGAATGACAACAACAAGGCCTTGCAGGTCCACAAGGTCTCACAAGGCCCCAGGTTCAAGGGGAGTACAAGGAACTAACAGTGCAAAGCCGGGAAAAGTCCAACATTTCTAAGCCCGCAGCCCCAAGGTCCAGGGTTCCAATGCCTAAGGCCCCAAGATCTAAGGCCCGACGGTGCGGAAACGGTACATGGAACCCCTAAGATTATAGAAAGTACAGGTTCCAAGGAGCCAGTACTTCCTCCAAGAGTCGACACGTGGCACTCTCCTAAGAGAGGGGTAGGTTTAGGCAAGAAAAAGCATATAAAGGTTAAGATAAATAAATCACTCGAATTTGCATTACACGTGGCAGATTCAAGCGCCCCCTCCAAGCTTCTCCGTAGCCTCACCTCTTCCGGGCGGGATACCCTTTGCCCCCCCCCCCCCCGACGTCAGCAGGTGTTAGACGGCTCAAGCTACGCAAGTTGAACCTCAGGATAGTTAGCCTGAGATGTTAAGACACTTAAAACCCACTACAGGAAGCGGTTTCTCTACGGGAACAAAAAAAGGGGTCCAATGACCATGAAACCGTCAAATACCGAAAGGGGTCATAGTACCAAGTGCAATTTTCTCTTCAAAGTCGATTGAGCCCAAGAAACCCCGGGACCGAGTGAAGTATATCCACTCGTGGGTCCCCAAGCCCCTCCATACTAGAAATCAAGTCTATAAGTCTTTTGCGTCTAACGAGGAGCAAGACCAGCCAAGACAACGGGTACACAATGTGATACTCTAGGTTGACGCGACACGGTATCGGGTGCCCCCTCCGTAAGTCGGCAGTCCGGCGCTGTGTGTGTTGTGGTTCTCCTACGTTGTTTGAGAATCCACTCCACTACAATTGCTTCCGGCACCGCAGGATCCACACTGTCGCCCCCGACCTTGTACCGAATCAGCAACTGGCAGTTGATCAAGAGGAGGCCACCGATGTCCTGGATGAGGATGTCGTAAACAATTTGGAGGCACACGTCTAGTAGTTCCGTTACCGCAACTTGACGGACATCAGAGACCTTCTTAACTTTTTAGGTGAGGAGGTAGTCACCTACCTGCCAGATCTCGACGAAGTGATTTAGGAGCACCTGCCCACGGAGATCGATGATACAATTGTGATGAATACGAAAGTGAGGAACTTCCTCCCATTCCAGCGGAAGACGCACAAATGATGATCTAGTCGCTCGAGACCTTCTGGATGCAGCAGGCAGATACAGAGGACGGCACTGCAGCGGATGAGGGACAAGCTCCAGGCGATCAGAACACGCCAGATGGTGCAAAAGGAATTTAGAGCTATTTTACACGAGTTAACGTAGCTTGTTTGAAGGGTAAAATTAGTTTACGAAAGTTGTGGGACCGAGAGAAACATATCGGATAACAGACAATGAAGGTTTATTATACTTTTACGAGAGTATTTACCCGTCGTTCCGACGGACATGGTTCTAAGGTAATAGATGTATTAAAAGGGGTGTTCCCGACGTTTCGACCGACAGGTGCACAAATTTGACGCTGATCGTATATTGACTTAAGTAATTAAATAGTATGAAAGGTAATGTGTATGAAGGTCATTGTATACCTGTCGTTTTGAAGGTTAGGGTGTTCACCCGTCGTTTTGACGAACATGGTCTGCCTTTTGTCCTGTAAATTAATCATTTCGCATTAAAAAATTAAATCGACTTAGGGTAAAGATGGATTATAAGGTTAATGTTTTCTCGTCCTTCCGTAAATGTTTCATTGGATCACCTGTCGTTCTAACGGTGCGAAGTAGTATATATAGGCATCTTAAACGTAGCAATTTGCTAGGGTGTTAAGTTGCTGTTTCCGACGGAAATTGCGCATGAAGCATATGCTGGTAGTATATAGAGGCACCCTTAAAAACGCAACGCTGCGCTTAGAAGTGTGCCTGTCGTTTAGACGACAGGCGCGCGCGGACCGAACATAAAATTTCTACTCGTTATAAAAAGAACTGAATGTTGGTGTGTCAAACGGTTCTTTGAAGCTTCTTTTAGCCAAAAAAATGCAGCTTGTCGATGTTCCTCGTCGTTCCGACGCATAGGTGCGCAAATTCTCTACTAATAGTATATTGGCCTTTCATTTACCGTAGAATATTTTAAATTAATCTAAAAGATATAAGTACGAAAGCCAATGTGTAGGAAGGTCAGTGTGTATATGTCGTTTCGACGGACATGGTAAGCGAAGTCTACTATTTTGATATTCGTACCCATCTATTTACTTTAAGAATATTTGGTTGACTCGATACAATAATAGGTAAAATTCAATACATTTGGGTTACTTTGCTTATTGGAACTGAATCTAGTTCAACCTAGTGACAACGCTTGCTTTTACCACATTTAGTGTATTATCAAAGCGCTGAAGTCATGTATTCAAAACGAATCGAAAGCATGTGCCTAATTTAATATTTCAAGAAAAGCTTTGTTTGATATAGCAACATAACTATGGGAATGAAGGTCAACGTGTACCCATCGTTTCGTCGATGTATTATATAAAGAACAGACATACTAAATAAACTATATTCAGTTAGGGAAATCTACCCATGCTATTATCAATGCAAAAACACAAAATCAGCCAATCCGAAATAGCCAATAATGCAGTATTAGCCAATCCAAAGTTAGCAAATAATGCAAAATTAGCCAATCCGAATGCCGGAAAAGGAGCACTACGGACGGACGGACGGACGGACGGACGGACACAATTCTTTTATTATATAGAAGATGCAGTGTAGACAGGTTATCAGTTAAGGCAGTATTATTTTTTTAGACAGGTTCTACGGTGTTCATATTTCGAATCTGATAAATCAAGGCTACACTTTATGTAAACACTCTTTATAAAACTTAGTAATGTCGTCCATTCCTTCGAAGAAGCTATTCGTATTTGGTCTTGGCTATTCGGCATCCCGAGCAGCTCATGCATTCCATTCTATCGGGTACCAAGTATCTGCACCGTTCGATCGGTCGAAGCTGCCACGCAATTATGTCAATCTAATTCCGAGTTGTTTCGATTCGAGTCATCGACTACTCACCCGCAAAGTGTTTTCCTCTTTGACGGGGACACATGGAGCGCTACTAATTCATTATCACTTGAAAAAGCTCTGCAAGGAGTCACTCACGTACTAGTTTCAGTACCAACGGGGCGTTTGGAAGGCCAGGCAGATCCTGTTTTAGCCGCTTTGAAAGAACCACTCATCCGCGCCACCAAAGACTCGATCCAATGGGTCAGTTACTTATTGACCATAGGAGTTTATGGAGAGACTAATGGTGTAGAAGTTGATGAGTCGGCTACGGTCGGTTCTTCGGTGGGTAGATCTCAGATGCGGATCAAGGCTGAAAGATTGTGGTTAGATTCGGGTCTTCCGGCTCATGTGTTTCGAATCGCCGGAATCTATGGCCCTGGTCGAGGTACACTCACAAAAGTTCGAAGTGGAACGGCATCGATAATCCATATTCCAGGTCGGAAGTTTAGTCGAATTCATGTCGATGATATCGTTAATATTTTACTGGCATCGGCAGCCCAGCCGAATCCAGGCGGAATCTACAACATGTGTGACGATGAACCAGCACCATCGGACGAAGTCACGGCTTATGCTTGTGAGCTGTTGGGTGTACAAGTACCTCCTCAACAGTCGTGGGAGAAGCGGAGAAGACTATGAGTGCCATGGCAAAAAGTTTCTATGCGGAGAGCAAGATTTGCGCCAATCGTCGGATTAAGGAAGAGCTAGGAGTGCAGCTCATCTATCCGACATACCGTGAAGGTTTTTTAGCCCAAATACTTGAGGAAGACAAGCTGTCTACAGCAGGTGATGTTCTGTCTTGTCTTGCTGCTAGTAAGACTCTTCCACGGTTGGTGGTGCTTGTGAATATTGGATCACTGCGAGCTGAGCCGTACCTTGACCTACGTCAGATCAGCTTTCGACTGAGTCGGTCTATCGGTCAGCCTGTTGTGCCTTGTAGCTTTCGATTTTCGAATCGCGTTAACCCTAACGAACTGTATGGGCTCGAAGCCAAGACTTTTGGAATGGTGTTGACTGACCACCTTGCTACTCGTGGAGATAATGCCAGCGACGTTGTTGTGCTGCCATTGTTCTTTGGCAAGAGCAGTACGCTGACAGAATTTCTCCAAAGACAATCAACAAAGTTTGGGCTGCAGCCACACCAACGCCCTCAATGCCACTCACTGTTCGCGTTGGCGGTTGCCTTGTTGACCAAGAGAATGCGGAAGATACTCGGGTGGCTCAAATTCTCTTGGAGCGTATTCTAGCTGTAGTGGACTTGAAGACGGTGACTGACGATGTGAACGTTCTAGTAGTGGACCATGGCACACCAAGCCGAGACGTAAACGAGGCGCGTGAGCTCGTCGCCCAGGCGTTGCGTGGTCTTTTGCAGAGGTACGAGCACGTCAAACTGGTCGATACCGCGTGCATGGAGCGCCGCGAAGGTGCAGAGTACGATTTCAATGATCCACTATTGGCTCAAGCTCTTGACTATTACACCGTGAAGACGGGAATCGTTGTCTGTGCCATCATGTTCCTTTCTAACGGTCGCCATGCTGGCGAAAAGGGTGATATTAAGGAGATCATCGAGGACGTCAGAGCGAGACACCCGGGCGTGGACGTCTGTGTCACAGAGGCGCTTGGAATGCATGAGCTGCTGTCCGAGATTATGAAGGACCGCTACCGTACTGTCCTAGCCAAGGAGACCCCGGATTACACGTTGCCTAATGACAAGTAAGATGTGTGTGTACCTGTTAATCACTTTCTTGACGTCTGTGTTAGCATTGCGTTGCATGAACCTATGCTCTATACTTCTGGTGGTGCTCAACGTAGGACGCGTGTTGCAACTCGGTGTTACATGAGCTTGAATCGCACTCGGTTGGGTGCAGGCAATAATTGCTGATTGTCTTAATATGAAGCCGATTATTGACCTCAGCTTACACGCATTGACAACAAGTCTTGTTCGAATACTGCTCACTATTTACCATCGCCGATACTGCTTTGCGCTCGATCACATGCAAAGTTCTTAAGCTTTTTATTATGCGATCATAATGACCGACGATGCAAACAGTGATGGCAGGAAGCCATATGCAATGCACCAAAGTAGCAGCATGCTTTGCTTTAAAATTGCGTTGAGTGACGAGAACTAGTCAATCGATCAGAAAGAGATTGAAGTGGGGGGATCCGATTGAGATATACCTCAGTAAAGTTACTTGTGCCGGCGATCGGATATCTTGCAGAGGATGACCTTGAGGTCGCTCCCAAGCTGCAGAGCATCGCACACGTTTGGTCCAAAGATCACTCCGCCGATCTTCTTGGCGATGCTATTCGAGGCGAGCACGCGTCGAGAGAATAGGAACGCTTACTCACAGATTGAAAAACATTCGACTAGAGCTGGTGACACATACGTTCACTGACAAAAAGTGGCAAGACCACTTGTCCCAACAACATGTCCTCTACTTCCTGGGATAAGCAATGTGGATGTCTCCTGAGAAATTATGATGCAAACGTAGATGGTTCTCTTTCCCACGAGACAGTTCCGTTAAGTGCTCGTGAGGTCATCGATCCATGGGCCCAAGGGACGACATTTTACGAACCTGCCCGATATAGCACCTGTCATCGGCGATTCTGGGTTATCCTTGCTAGTGGCCAAAACAGCAAGTCGAGCATGCTCAAATGCGTTCAATCCCAGCGACCGGCAATCACTGAAACAGGATTTGTTTGGCCTTCTATCAAACGAGTCTGTTTTGAGTTGGAAGTCCACGAGTCGTGCGATAATGAGTCTGCATAAGTGAAGCGTGACGCAGGTGATGATCGAGACGAGCTTTGATAGCGGTTTATGAAATACTGACTACCGAACTTGCTCGAAAATGTTGGCTACGAGTGGCATTTTACCTTCAAAGTGGACGTCCTCGAGAAGCTCAAGACCTGTCTGGCCTTAAGTGTGTTATTACTGAGCGCAAACTCTTTCAAATTTGACGATGCTTCATTATTAGCAACTCTGGCGAAGCGTGGCTGGATTTACTCAAACAACGCAAACCTTACAGAAGAAATGGGGAGGAGCTCAAGTAAGAAATTTCTTACCATCGCCTGCACGAGTGTCCAACGTTCGCCAACAACTTAATGCTCCAACTCTTTCTGATGTGTCAAACGGTGACGCCGTGCAGTACCAAACAACGGTCCGATGCACACTAAAAAACAAGTTTTGATCCGAGATATCGGATTGACAGGGACGTAGAGCGTAAAAACAGCTTCGCGTGATCAGTATCTTCCAAATCCGATGGCAACAGCAGTATTCACCCAAAAAAAAGGATCGCGACACTGACACAAATGGAGATCCTGCTTAAGCCCGTAAGTGATTTCAACAAAACATATCCATCGATATAGATAGGTGTATCATATGAGATCGTGTCAAGCTTGGTGATGTATGCATGAAATATCATGAGACATTCCAATTTGCGCCTTTGGGTAGCAACGGACAGAGACGGAGACCTCCGTACTGGTCCCCTTTTCCTTGGACAGGAAGCCACCCATAGTGGGGCCAAGGTAAAAGGGGGGGCTGGAAAATACCACTACATCCAGTGCATACACCAGCCTGACTGTCCGATCATCATTGATGGATACAGAACATTTTTAACCATACGAGGTTCCCCATGTTATGTGATGCGACACTTTGGACTGAGTGAGAGACGGTAGAGATGCACCTGTACAATACGGACTTGTTTCGGGCACTGCTGTTGCCATTCGCAAACTTGCCTTCCAAGCAACAAGAGCTCAAGATCTACCACACCATCATCGTCATGGTTTACGCCTTCATCTTGAAAACCGCCGCTATCGTATTGACTATGGTTGCTTCTGCCCACGCGGAGTCGGGAAAGACCGTGAAACTTGCGCACCCGGACGGCTCCACTGCTGAGATCTCTCTCTTTGGTGCTCAAGTGCTGTCATTCCGTGCGTCAATGGATCGCAATCTCGATATTTTGTTTCTGTCCAAAAGGTCTTTTATGGATTTCGAGCAGCCCATTCGTGGCGGCATCCCCATCATTTTTCCGAACTTTGGCAGTCGCGAGGGCTTCCCTAGCCACGGTTTCGCCCGAACGACCAACTGGACGTTGATCAGCAGCAAGAATTCTTATGAAGAGAAAACCCCCAGCATGGCCACCTTCACCATGGAGTCGAGTGAGAAAACCCGTGCGATATGGCCAGTTGATTTTAAGCTCGAATACGAGGTGAAGCTGTATGCCAACGAATTGACGACAGCGCTGCATGTGACCAACACGTTTACGCAGCAGATCGAGTTCCACGCGCTACTGCACAACTACCTCTGGGTGGACGATGTGCGTAACAAGGGTGCGGTAGTGTCTGGTCTTAAGGGCGTCAACTACTTCGATAAGGTCGCCAAGGTGAACAAGACGGAGAGTCGCGAGTACATTGATTTTGCTGCGGAGACCGACAATGTGTACCGAAACGCCCCTGACGAGGTGCAAATTTTGATTGATGGCACCAATACCGTGCAACGCACTGTGAGTGTCAGGAAGGAGGGGTCTATTAGCTCTATGGACAACCAGGAAGTGCTAAAGACCAAGACCGACCTTGTCGTGTGGAATCCGTGGGTTGAACGTGCGAAGGCCATGCAAGATTTCGATAATGAAGAGTATAAGAACATGGTTGCTATTGAGCCCGGCCGTGTGAGCGAGATGCAACCTCTTCTCGCTGGCAAAACCTACACGTTGAAGCAGAGCATTTCAGTTTTTACGATGTAAAATTTCATGTTTCATCGTAGCATTGAGGTGACAAGCTCAAGACTAATTAGAAATTTATGAACAAACCGCAACTATTTTGTTTCTAAGACATCTGACATGTGGTTATCATATTACACATTTCTCTTCATGCAGATGCAAGAATTCATGGTCAAACATTGCACGATATCGTGGTTTCTAATCCGGAAGACAGAAGTGGCTGGATCCGTAGACATGAGCGAGCCTCACATGTTTATGGGGCCAGCCACTTCTGCTTTCCAGATGAAAAAACCACGATATCGTGCAGTGTTTCACTCTTGTCAAAAGTGCAGAGCAAGGTCCTAACGCGCATACGAAATACCTAGTAGCGGACTATGCATGTCGTATGTTCGTTCAATCGATACAATGGTCCACTGGGGCTTGCCCTGGAGTCGTTAATCTTCCGAGTTCGCACATGCACTTTGTTTCGTGAGAGCCGTTAAGTAAAAAGTAGGATAAACATGTAACAACAACGTGTTCGATCGATCCTTCTTGAGTTTTGAAAGCTCATCAGTCCGTCGTTTTGTTGTATAAAATGTGTTGAAACCTCGAACTTGCTCGGAACGATTCTTCGGGACGCCAGATCCGAACGGGGAGAAGTGTGCACCCTACCGCTGACAAGACTGACAAAGAACCATCGGTATGTGACGTATGGTCTCGAGTTTGCGCTTAGCGTACTGGCGTGACCAATTATGATGAGTGCAACATGCAGTAAGGAACAAAGTTAGCATATAATTGTCGAGTCACGAACGTGCAACATCAAGTAAAAGTGATGACCTGAATGAAAAGTATCTCGTTGTCGCTCGTCAAAGCTTAAAAGTAGCTTGACTGGATTCACACTCGATGACAATCTACTAAATTGCACGCCGTATAAAAGAAGAGGGGGAGTACCAGATTGTCAATTTGCGCTGTTGCAGCCTCTAGTACGGTTGTCAGAATGGTTGCTGCTGTGAGCAGCACCAACTAGCAGCGTAGCAAAACATATCCATTAGTACATAAATCAATGGCTTCACCACAGCGCAATCGTCGATATCATACCTGAACGTGCTCCCCATTATAGAATGAGCGCAAATGGTAGTCGTGAAGCGGTATTGAAGCAAGCATCATCGAAATGAACACAGCTGCACATCCTTCCACAGTCTTGCTGCCGAAAATTGTGCGCTTGCCAATGCTCAAGCCCACGGTGGCTCCCATTGCATCTCCGACACCCAGTGCAAGCACACCAGCATTTGCTGCGACTGCAGATATCCTGATTGACGATGAAGCTAGCCATAGTGGCAAAGCACAGCCGAGCAGCAAGTACGAGTGGGTCAAAATGACAAGTCCGCCTTCGCGATGATCGATGAATGATCGCATAAATTCAGCGATCGACTGACCGAAGGGTGGCAGTGCCAGCGCGCGAACACACTCCACGAGGACGAAGCTGCTGAGAGCCACGCCATAACTTAATGACAGCATGGAGGCATCAATAAGTGATGCTGGGCCAAGCATCAATACCGCCAAGAGATGGAATAGCTTTCGTGCGACAATGTTACGCAGCGCTAAGCGGGTTGAGATGAACGCAAAGAATGGAATCAAAACGACCATACAAACCGCCCAGTATCCTATCAGTTCGAATCGTGGTGGTAAGAATACTGAGACATCGCTCGACTCCATAAGGAAGCCAAGTAGCCACGCAATGGGGTTCCACGTCTGCAACAAAAAACAGCTCCACGGATATACCACACCGCCTACAACCACCGCAACTGTGAGTACAAACGTCACCGTTCCTTTCACAGGCAACGGCTGCGCAACAATAGTGGGCGACGGAGTTCCATAAGACCATAAAAGCGGAATTAGCGCCACGCACACCAGCAACGACCCCATCATTCCAACCTGCAGCGCCATTACATAGTCTGGTCGGTCAATGTCAATGATGAGCCACGGGTGAAGCACCACGGGCTGCAAGTCGATGATATCGCATTCACTTACCTACATCACAAAAGAAAAGATCAGTGGCGTTGTCATCTGAAAAGAAGTCGACGGACGTACTTTTTTAACCGTGACAAGAACAAGATCATACAAGCAAAGGCCGATGCCTTCAGCAACGAGCATCGCTTCTCCAATAGTGAATGACCGAGGTAGGAGCTTGAAGCCCGCAGATAACACAGCGGCCACAATGACTCGTCCACCGGTAGCTAACAAAAACCTCCACTCCGCTTCCACCGGACTGAACAGGCCGAATGCCACCGGCAGCAACACCATATCCACGAGGGCGTTTACACTGCATGATGTCACAGTCCCAAACACCGCAACCTTGAGCAGCACACTGACACCAATGGAAATGCTGGTCCATGCGTAAAAAAAAGTAAAACTTGAAAAACCTTCTTCATGATACATCCCCACCAATAGGCGACTAAAGAGCACAAAAGGAGGCAGTACACAGCCTACGACAAGACCAGTGTCGCGCTCATGTCTACCCCCCATAGTTTTTCAAGTGAATACCTTGGTCTACAACGACAATTATGGTCATTTGAGTAAGTACTAAACACGAACCTGGACGACGCACGGAGAGCTTTAGACAGAGTCTGATGTCGACAAATAGACCACATAACAGTGGACAAGCCCAGGATATACAGGACAAAGAGTGAATACGACATCGAAACGGTCTGCAGCAGCCGCTGTTTTGTCAGTCGCGACGTTTTCTCTATGCCCTCGTGCAGATACTCCTTCTTCTTCTGAATCAGGTACGTGATCCATCCGGCCATCAAAGCGAGCACCATCGTCTCTGCAACCTGCGCGCGACGATTCTGGTTCAATGCCTTAACGGACATTTGCACGAAAAACGTTGCAATTTGGCAAACGTTTTGACCACTTTTTCGCCAAAATCGAGCGACCTTAAAAGTCAAAGGGGTTTGTGAAGCAGCAAACTCACCTTGTAGGTGCACCGTCCTCTTTTTTTCGCTTCTTTGAGTCATGACTTTGCACCACCCGGTCGTTGTGACATTATTGATACGCGTCACCAATCAGCCAGGAAATACGTGGCACGCCAAAGTGATCCGGTGGCGTGCTCAAGCCAGGTACCAGGAGAGCGCTGACCTCAGGAAGTCACGCTTTCCGACTGTACTTTGGTTGACCGGTTGGAACATTAGCCTGTTTTTAAAGGCATAATAAAAGTGGGCCATGTGCGTGAGCAAATTGTCGTCTCAAATTGCACACACATTTTGTCGACCTCATCGCGTCAAACATGTATATTCAATAGATGCCTGCTTCAGCTTCCAAAAGGTCACTGCATAACCTAAGCAAACGTCAGCGCGCCCAATGACTGCTCCAAGCCATCCATTGCATGCTTGATCGTCTCCATCGATGAGGCGTACGAGATACGAAGACCATTCTTCACCCCGAATGCCGAACCGGGCACCAGAGCCACGTGGAAGTGGCGTAACAGGTACTCGCAAAAGTCGTCAGCGTCCTTCACCACCTCACTCTTGTCGGTCGTCGTGCCCTGCTTGCCTTCGAAGTACGAAGACAGGTCCATGAAGACGTAGAATGCCGACGTCGGGTACGCGAAGGCCAGCTGCGGGATCGCCTGCAGGCGCTTCACAATGTACTTGCGCTTCTCATCCATGATTGCCAGCGTCTCCGTCATGCGCTCCTTGTTCTGGGAGACACACTCCATCTCAAGCCTCATAGCCTCCGCGGCAGCAGCCTGGCCGACTGAGTTCGCGCAGGACGTCAACTGGCCCTGCAGCTTCGTGCATACCTGCACAAAGTACTTTGGTGCCGCTAAGTAGCCAATGCGTAGACCTGGCATCGCGTGGGACTTCGAAAAGCCATTGACTGTCAGCGTGCGTTCGTACATGCCCGGCAGTGTCGCGAAGCTCTGGTGCTCGCGTTTGGCCTCGCCCTCATCCTGGTACACCAACTGCTCATAAATTTCATCAGCAATAACCAGGATATGACGGAAGTGAGGCTTCCGCAGAACCGCAGCGATGCTCTCCAGTTGAGCCGGTGAGTGGACCGTGCCAGCAGGGTTGCTCGGATTGCACAGCATCAGCGACTTCACTCGGGGGTTGGCTTCCAGCGCTTTCTCTAGCTCCACCGGATCGATCAGGTAACTCTCCGACAGCTTTGTCTGCAAGATCACAGGCTCGCCACCCGTCAGCTTCACCATCTCCGGGTAGCTTACCCAGTACGGCGCCGGGATCAGCACTTGCTCGCCAGGCTTGGTGATTGTCAGCAGAGCCTGGTACACGGTTTGCTTCGCGCCGTTTGACACAAGAATCTCGGTCAGCGGGTCGTACTTCACGCCCTTGCACGTCTCCAGGTACTGCGCGATCAAAGAGCGCAGCTCCGCCGTGCCCTTCACGTCGGTGTACTTCACGTTGCCCTGATCCAAAGCCGTCATACCAGCCTTTAGCACGCGCTGAGCAGGGGAGAAGTCGGGCTCGCCCACACATAGCGACCACACCTGCTTGCCCTCCGCCTCCAGCTGCTTTGCCATGCCGTGGATTACCACCGTCTTCGACGCAGCGATCTTGCCCAGCAGCGGGTTTTGCGGATACTTCTCCGTCATTGGGGCGTCTTCACGAGCCATAGACTCAGTGGTCTGGATGGTACCAAGTCTTTGCGTGACTTCGGCGAGAGACTCGCGGAACTTGTCAATTTGCTGCTCAGAGTTAGGGTTGAACTTGTAAAGACCCTGGAAGAGATTGAAGCTGTCCTTGCATGTGTCCTCCACCAGCCGCACGAGGTTCTTGAACCCACGAGTGTCGATTGGCGTGTTTTTCACGCCCTGCACGCTGAGAATTCGGCCAGTCAAGTGAGTCAGAAATTGGCTGCTGGCAGCATACTCGTCGTGGGACTCGCACGTCATCTCCAGCATGCGACACATTTCCGTCTCGAAAATTTGCAGGAAGTTATCCATTACGTGGTTGTGCTCACCAGAAACAATCCGTACTTTTTCGTACATCATACGCAGACCTCTCCACGAGTACTTGCCACTTTCAGGGCCAAACATTGGGTGCGTACACAAAATGCTTGCGCTATGAGGCAGGTCCTTGAGCAGGATCTGTTTCGGGTGCGTTTTTACGGATAATACATCCACAATCACGAGTTTTTCCAGCAGGTGCTTCGGGATCTTGCTAAGCACATTCTCAAACGACAAAATGCTGACACAGAGCACGAGAACATCCAATCCATCGAAGAACTGCTCCAGCTGCGTCGATGAATCGTAGTACTTGCATCCAATCTGCACAGCCACAGTAGAGTAGTCTGTACGCGAGGTAGCCCGAATCTCGTGTGACTTGGTCATCGTCTTAGCCAAGAACTGTCCAAAGTTACCAAAGCCGTAGATACCAATGTTCAAGCGCACTGATTTATGCTCTTGTGGCAAAATCGCCGGTGACGCAGTTATCGGGTTGGCCTGGTACGCGCCAACCGCTTCTAACATCTTACGCACCTCGCCCAGCAGCTTCCCCTTGGTTGGGTAGGACCCCAACACACGCACAAACTTGCAGAACTCGCGTAAGTGACGCAGTGCATTAATGACGTTCTCATCCGTCTGGCGTCCAATGAGGTCGACGTAGAACAGATAGCTGTACTTCCTACGGACATTTTCAGCCGAGAGTGAAAAGTCCTCAGAAGATGACTCCATCGTGTCTTGATACTGCTGCTCAGCTGTATGTCCCCATGGTCGACTTTCAATCTTGGACATGTCAATGTCTCGCAGCGAAAATGCCGACAGTGCCTTGTAGAGTTGGCCCTTCTCGTTGCTGTCCACAAAGGAGAACACAAGGGACGTTTTAAACTCTGTATCCACGTTTGCATCAAGACCCAAGTCCTCCTTCTTGCTCAGCAGCAAAAAGCGAGTAAAGTTGCCCGCATCATCTTCCACATTGCGCTGCAACACCTGCAGTCCGTAGTACTCTGCAGCCAAGTCACTAGCCACCGCAGCCGTGTCCTTCCACTGGTTTTCCGCCAGCATCTTGGCACTTCCTGCTGTATCGTACTCTGCTTGGGGTTTGGCCCCCATGGATGCGATAGTGTGCGCACATTGGGCTAGCGCCTGCGGGTGGCTGATAACCGTCTTGATGTCGCTCTTGTTTACGCCCGGCAGCGCCAGTAGCGAATGTTCTACACGCAGATCGTATTCGCCCACAATATACAGCCCAAACTTGAGCAGGAGATCGTAATTAACGTGGATGCTGCCGCCTAGAGAGTTTTCGATCGGGAGCACACCAAAGTTCGCTTCTTCGCGTTGCACGGCTAGGAACGCTTCGTCAAAGGAAGCGTAGCCCACGGCCACGATATTAGGTGATGATCCTATCAACTGACGCGTCGCCTTCTCCGAGTAAGCACCGGGCATTCCCTGATACGCCACTTTTACGTCGGTCTTCATATTTTGGTCACTTGTCTTTAAAGGTCGAATGATGTTGTGGACTTGGATCGGATTCTCTGGATCCTTTTTGCTCTTTATTTCGATAATATTTGTAATGAAAGGTTCAAATAAATGGATTTCCCTCTATCATCTAGCTGATAATATAATCTTAGAAGATGATATTGTCGTCGCATCTGAAGTTGCCCTTCTTATAGGCCATGAAATCAATAATGCCGGCATGCATTAGCTAGATCTTGGACGTTGTGTAGTAACAACTTTTTGTTAGTGGAGTTTCCATTTTGCATCGCATCACGTGACTGTCGCGTGCTCGCAGCAGTAAGTGGTCACGGACTCGCTGCTCTCCACGATCCACCAACACGAAGCGAGTCAACAACGTCCTTGCCATCAACAGCATGCCACGCCCTATTAAGAAAATAAAGTGGACAAAGGCCCTCTCCAAACCTTCCGTTAAAAGCAAACGGAGGAAAATGGAGAACTCGAAAAGGGGAACCACTGGCGTGTCCGATACTTTTGACGAGGCAACAGCGCGGGTGTGAACTTCGCCAGCCACAAACGGAGACAACTACAGCGAAATGTCAGATGCCCGAATCTAATAGGGAGGTGGAAACCGAAAGAATAGCTGATAGCCTTCAGGAGGCTTTCTAGGCTGCTCTTGCTGTTACAATAACGAACAGACCGTCACGTTATCTGGGGACGTCAGCACGGAAATGCGAGGAAGAACGCGACAAGGAAAAGTGCAAATGCTGGGTGTTCACCTTTGACATTTATTATTAAAAGCGGAAGGCAAAGCCAGTCCTAGAAAGCCAAGCCAATGGTGAACACGCCAGTGACGTGACTGGGGGCGCGACTGCAAAAGTCGATAGTGACGAAAAGAGCCAGGACTGGACGGAAGAGAAGCTTACGGTCTCTTTTTCAGATCCGCGAGTTTCACAAAGTTTTGTGATGCAACCGAATCCACAAGAATGGTCATCACTTGGTCATAGCCTCGTACTCGAGCGCTATAGACCAAAAGGGTTGGGGTCCGACCTTTCGGAACCTCAGGGACTATGCTACCCATTTGTTCGATCACTCTGAGCTTAGTGGTAGTTTCAGAGTCCGTGACTATAGGGCATCCCGCCCCTACTGCGCTCCCGCATTTCCCGACCCATCTTGGGCAGGTGCTGAACCCGTGCGTCGTGCACGCTACCTCCCTTCGGGTTGGGAGACTTTTTGCTGGCTGCCTTAGCACTAGCAGCTACTTTGGCATCGCAGCGAGCCATCATATGGCCTCGCTTGCCGCACTTGTAGCAGATCACATCTGCATTGCCTAACTCCATAGGAGTGGCATCAGACTTCTCGGACGACGGCCTGTAATAGGCTGTCGCCGAGGCGCTGTTGTAGGATTGCTCCTCAACTAAGGCAATGTCAATTGCCTCTTCCATTGTCGCTGGCACCTTTCTGAAAAGGGTCTGACGCGATGGTCCGTGCCTAAGTCCATTCATGAACGTGGCCACCTTGATACGTTCCGGTATCGGTTACCCATTAATGGACGCCGACAGCGAACGCATCTCCTGCACAAATTCTTGTAGAGAGCGTTTCGCCTGTCGTGCTCCAAAGAAGCGCGCCATAAGCAACACTTCGTTGTTAGGCGGCTGATACATGGCGCGAATCTTTGCCTTAAAGATCGCCCATGATGGAAATGCATCAGCATTAGCCATCAGCGCAGAGTATGCCCACTCTGACGCTTTGCCACGCAAGTTGGACATGGCATACGACACCATTCTGGTGTCGTCTTCGATGAGCTGCGCCACTCCACATTGCTCCACTGCTAATAGCCAGTGAACAATCGTGTGAGGGCTAGTTCCATCGAACTTCGGAGGGTCCATCCGAATGGGCCTCGGTTGAGCAGGCCGGGCGAGAGCGTCTCAACAGTTCTGTTGAGCGTCTCATTACGTGCCTGCTCAAGCCTAAGATCATCCTGAGTCTTAGTGATGGACTCAGGGGTGGCTTGGCTGTTTACCTCGGACGCGTTTCTACGCTGTCCGAGCACAAACGCCTCAAATTGCTCCAACTGAGCAACATGTTGCTCAGGAGGACAATGCAAGAGGTTGACCAGGGCTTGTTCACCAAGTCCCTGCGCCATATGCTCTGCCAACTCCCTATGATGTTGGGAGAGGTGAGGGAAGTCACTCCAGTCCATATGAAGGACCATCTTAACCACATGCACGCTCAGAGAGACAAGTCGTGGAAAGGACTAAAAGTGCTACTAAGTGTAAACGGGCACTTCTACGAAGTTGCCTCGTACTACGAGCACACACCTTATGCACAAGCGAGGAAGCGGTTAGACCGTCTTACCTTCGCGTGCGAGGGGGGTTGGGAGGTTGGTCGACTGCTTAAGCAGTCGTACCACCAGTTGCCTCTCGCTTAAGCGAGAGTGCAACGAGCTTCTTAACAAGAAGGCACCGACGTCACACAGAAGCTTTTCAACTTCTCGTGCGTGGTGCGTTTGTTTAAGTAAATTCAAGACTGAGCTATATTTAATTAATTATAACTAAATATATACTTAACTACTGATTGGCTATATATATATAGATCGGATACGCAACTCTTTAGAAGCGTATCCTGTCGCATGATCTTAAATCTAGATTTAGGCAACTGACGTCCTTCTGAGACGTCGCGATGCCTAGCTTCAACTAGCGTCATCCCTTCTCATGTGAATCCATAAATGGACATCACATTCACGAGGGTGGATCACATTTGTGTATCGCACCCAAGTGACAGGTCAAAAGTAATCATGGATACTTTTAGGCCAAACATTAAGTATATTACTTAATGTTTACGTGTAACTAGATGCCCTGTTACACTTTTCATGCTACGTTGGCAGAATGTGATCATTGTGGAAGCCCGAAGATCCTTAGGGATTCTGGTAGATGAGGTTTAGATAATTATTAGTGTCTTGCACCGTATTTTGCAAGGAAGCAGCTGTATCTTGACATAATTAGTTTTAGGCCATCCGTGATAAAAGGGCTTCTCTGCTTTCTCGATAAAGAAAAGCTGCAGCTTGTCAGATACGTCGGTATTTGCAGTGAACGCAATGAATACCCGTGTCTGCAAATGCTGTCAGCGCAAAGACATTTGCCACTAGCCATCGTGCGTGCACGGGGTCAATAATAAAGCAGTTTGTTTTGAAGCGTTAAAAAGCCATGTCTGACCCCACTGAACTCTTATGTTTATACACTTAGACCGTCATGGAAGCTGAGTACAAAACAAAGATGAAAAATATGTTTTTATTTCTATATGAAAATTTACGAAATCTAGATATTCAGTATTATTAACAATCCATTTATATTTCAAAAACTTTAGTCGCAGGACGGATAGCAGCACAAAGCAAGTATCAACAGCTGGTGCGTCCGCAGTCGAGCTACCACGTGGAGTCATGGAAGAGTGCAGAAGGGCAGCGATTTGGAAGACACAAGACCGGCTGCAAGACGACGAAGATGCGCCAGGAGTCCGTGGACCATCAAACCGCCGACGAGTCGAGCTGGTCATGTGGTGGCTAACATGATGCAGCCTTTCTCAGCGAAATTTACAAACAATGTCGTGGCTATCTGCTATGGATTTTTCTAGCATTGAACCGTCCAACTAGCCACCGCAGTAGCCAAATCACCAATGACTGAAGTAACAGCGCAACGAAAAAAATGGGTTGTTGCCGTTGCACATTGTAACGGGGCTAAAACGTACCGCCACTAGCTTATACGCGCGCTTGAGGAAGACCCAAGCTTGAGTAATAGGTAGTAAATAAATCTAACTCTGATTTTTTTGTACTAATTACAAAGATCTTTATGTCGTAATAAATACGACAGTGTTTCCGCCTTTCAGGAACCACTCATATTCAGGTTAATTTATCATTGGTCCATATTAGGTCGTTAGGCCCCAAAATAAGTCAATAATAAATTGATACACTTGCCTACAAATGTAATTATTTCTTTCTGCTTATGTTATATATGCAATGTGGCCCTTAAGTATCATAGGCGTGATTAGCAAACTTCTTCGGCGTACAACTAGTACCCGGCTAGATACGAAGTCTCAATTTCCAACATGACTGCAACTCTTGTACCTCAGCTCCACGCATCTTGTCCTTGATACTGTCTCATGCCAGTTTCACCTTTAGAAGAAGAACTACGAGACTCCAGCGTCAGCTTTACGCTGGTGCTGAACATGTCGCGATCGATGCGCCTATCTTGTAAGGCGCCTATCTTGTAAGGCGCCATTCCCTAACAAAGGAAAAGCCCCCGCGTTACTCATGCAGTAACAAGAGGCTTTCGGACCCGGCGTTCCCAAGCCCATCGACCACTCATCATACTGCAAGTTTACAAGATTCAATTTTTTGCGTACCGTGACGCTTACGTTTTATGCCGTTATTTGAACAGTTGAGACCAAGTCCAGTGGTCTCTCCTTGCCTACAACTGGATGACCGCGCAAAGTTCACATGGGGCTCAGACCTTGTAAACTAAACAGTGCCAACTAGTGTACATTAAAGCCATAAACTTCAAGTAGGTGCCCTACAAGCAGCCGGGACTTAAAGCCACGGTGGACCTCACAGCCCAGAATCTGTAAACAGAAAGCTTATCGCTATGGTCGAACAATAGCAACCAGCAATAACTGTTAGGATAACGGTATTGATGGATCTTGAGACACATTGACGCACGTCGCTTTCGTTGTCAACATGACAGTTGACAATTTGTAAGCACGGTCTCATTGTAGATTTTGTCAAGTAACGGAATTGGCCAATTCAAATGGCTGCTCGACTACGTCGCGGAGATATTCCTTGTCGTGGTGCTAACCTTGGCGGTTGGCTAGTCGCTGAGCACTGGTTGACTTGGGACTCGAGTTTGTGGCACGGCGTGCCCGACGAGATCAAGAACCGAGGGGAATTCGCGATTATGAAGTTTTTGGGCCATGAAGAGGGCGACCGCCGGTTTGATGAACACAGGCGAACGTGGGTCACGGAGGACGATATTGCCGAGATGAAACGGTTCGGGCTCAACACCGTGCGAGTACCTGTGGGCTACTGGATTATGGGTTTTGATCCGACCGACTTCCCTAACAAGCAAGAGTGGGCGGTGTTTGCTCCTCATGCACTACGGTATTTGGATGAGTTGGTAAACCGTTGGTGTGTAAAATACGATATCGCAGTGATCGTGGACATTCACGCAGCTAAAGGTTCCCAAAATGGCCGCGAGCACAGCGCTGCAGTCGCAAATGGAGCCAAGTACTGGTGTCAATACCCGGAAAATGTGAACAATACGGTACACCTGGCCAAATTCTTGGCTTCACGATATCGCGACTGTCCTGCCTTCCTTGGCGTTGGTCTTCTCAATGAACCTGAGGCTCCAACAGAACAACGTGTACTTCAAGCCTACTACGAGCGTGCATACTCTGAGATTCGTGCAACTGGGAATGACTGTGTGTTGACCGTGTCACCGCTGTTAACAGAGCAGGGACCTCCATTCATGGAGGACTTCATGCGCTACCCAAAGTACTACAATGTATGGCACGAATGGCATCCCTATTTTATCTGGGGCTATGAAGGTCAGAATCGCAATCATGTGCTGCAAGCTATCCGCCGTTATGGAAATCAAGTCTCTTCTTGGAAGGGAAATTGGCTTCTCATCGACGAGTGGAGTTTGGGTTCTCAAGAGTGTGCCTTTACAAGTAAAGACCGTAATGGACTCAAGCAATTCGCGTCGGCGCAACTTGAAGCGTTCAGCAAGGCTCACGCGGGATGGATATTTTGGTCTTGGCGCCATTCGGATGACGGACACAACCGTCCGACGGGTTGGTCGATGCGGCAGTTGCTGCGTGATGGTGTGATAAAGCTGAATGAAGCGTAACGGGAGCATGAAGAGTACAAGAATATGATTGCTATAGGAGCTGGCTATGTGCTTAGCACGGAACCTTACAGCATGTAAAGCGAACTACAGCGATTCATCTCAGTTTACACACTGTAACATTTCATCTTTTACAAATATTGTAGTTGTGAAGAAAATTTTGATGGTGACAAAAGCTGTGGAGCTATAACTTTTTACACTTTATCCTTTTCCTCGTATATTTTTAGCCAATGAGATGTATTACTATTCTAACACTTGACATTTGTAAGCTCTGCGGCAATTGAAGTTGTTTAATAGTGAAGCAAAGTGCTTTACACGCCCAATCTCCAGCCATTGACAATGGCGGCGTTACCGATAGGAATGCAGTTGGTGAGCGCGCTGGACGATTCCGAGCTTTCACTTTTAGGTGATGCGTCGTCGACTGCCTCGGAGCATGTACAACGCACGCTCTTGTTGCCACTGGAGAGCGACGACGCGGCGCTTGACATGGAAATGGACGTTGATCTAAATATCTTTCGTCCTAGTGTTATGTTAGATGCTGACATCTTTGGTAGCGATTCAAGTGAATTATATTTTGGCTCAATTTTTCAACCTAGTAAGTAAAAGGAATTTTATTTTTCATGTAATAAATCCTTAAGATGATTATTTACTAAAAAATTTCATATTTTTTTTAGCAGATTGGGGCGATGGACAGGATAATATCGAGCAAATGCTGCTATGCGGTTCAGAAGAGGCAACTCTACACAATCATCATCAGCATGAGACAACACCAGGGCAAGACTGTCAGTGTCGGAACTTTGCCATAAGAGCGAACCGAGTGCAGGCACAGCAGGAACGAGTCGTTGATGCGATCGCGGCGAAGGATCAAAAGAGAGTGTTGCGACATACTTTTGGATCAGGGAAGAAGTTGTTGGGTTTTGGATTTGGAGAAGGGGCTGTGATGGACAAGTCCCAGCAGCAGGATATTGCAATGACGGATGGACCGCCGACGTCATTTCTTCATGTTGACGGCGCAGGTTTGGAGATAAAACAGGAGGTGTTGGATACTAAGGACGCTGTGGCAATGGTAGCTACAAAGTTAATGCCTCCGACGTCTTTCGCGGTAATGAAACAGGAGGCGCCTTCAACGCCGAAGCGCGCGCTGCATAAAGCACGCTCTTTGGCAGATGATGAGTTGTTTAGCAGTCCATTGCATCACAGTCAGCCATTGTTTGCGGTTTCAAGTCCATTGAGTACGACTAGTTTCGTGTCTTTGGAGGGTACGATGGCTACGCCCTTGTCGACCACATCGCGTTCTACAGTCCACTCTGGAATGCCGATGATGCGCTCGCTATCGCCTGCTGACGAGTTCGAAAAGATGGCATCAAGTGGTTCTCAAACATCAATGCACAAGATGAACATTCTAAGGGGAAACTTTCAAGTATCTGCAGGACGCGACACCGTGCCACTTGTAAAGCCCTCTGCAGTGCTGCCACCACCGTATTTTCGAGGAGCTCTTGACTCGCCAGAAAAACGACGCGTACATTCAAAGACGTTTAGCCCGTTTGCCCAGTCGTTGTCATTTTCGTTTGCGAACGAGTCTTTGACGCACAAGTGAAGAAGTAGCGATGCAGCGGGATAAATTATCTCGAGTGACGAGGAGGACGATCTGCTTCTGAGGAATCAGATTTTATTTGAAATAATTAGTTTCTTTTTTTAAAAGTAACCGGTCGTTGGTGTGCATTACACAATATTGCTACATATTGCCAACCAGTCAAAGAAAAAACCTCCTCAGTAGCGATGGCGATCTCGGGTATGCGTTGGGGTGACGAGGAGGACGATCTGCTTCCGCAGCGCATAGAAAGTGAACCAGATTCAAACGGTGTTCGTCAGATAGTCGAGTGGAAGGTGAACGAGGCCGGTGAGAAGGTGAAAGTGACGAAAAAGGTTAAAAAGATTACAGAAATCAAGCGTATTAGTAAACGTGCGTTGGAGCGAAAGAAATGGCGCAAATTTGGTGATGCGCTGGATGACGGCGATGGAAGTAACGTGACGTATCGATCCTATGAAGAGGTGACGTTGGACGATCCGAATGCTGATCAGGTGCTTCCTGGTGAGAAGAAGGAGGAGGAGAACATCTTTGCTGGTGTCAAGAACTCGTCTATCGTCGTATGCCGTCATTGTGGTATGGTGGGTGATCATTGGACGCTCAAGTGTCCGTACAAGGACACGCCCAAGGAGGAACTGGTGCTGGACATGGCCAAGCGTGCCGAGGCTGGAGATGCAGCGGCTCCCGTTGCGTCGTCAGCTGAGCCTGCATCTCGTGGCTCTGCTCTAGATGGAGCATTTGGATCGAGCAAGTACGTGCCGCCCAGTCTCCGTGGACGTGTGGATGGAGCTGGCGGTGACGCTGGCGGTGACAACTCTCATGACGACAGCGCTACGTTACGTGTAACCAACGTGTCGCCTGACACCCGTGAAGATGATTTGAAGGAATTGTTCCGTGTTTTTGGACCTGTGGCACGTGTGTATCTGGCCAAGGATCGCGAGACGTTCCAGTCCCGTGGCTTTGCGTTTGTCAGCTTCATGTACCGCGAGGACGCTGAGAAGGCACTGAACAAGCTGCAGGGATACGGTTACGATCACTTGATTCTTAAGCTGGAGTGGGCCAAGCCTTCTAACAAACCTGCAAACGAGGATGCTGGCAGCATGGGTACGACCTTCCGCTCCGGTTACGGGAAGGCTTTGCCACAGAATATGGCGCCACCTCCCCGCAAGTAAATTGATAAGCCGGACATATTGAAGTTTGTCGAGCTTATCTGACAAGTTGCTGTGTTTATTTTTCCATTGGTATTCATTTGTCGATTGTCTTATTGTCACATATCATTAAAACAATCATAATTCTCTCTTCCAGCAGGTGCCATCGCAATGTCACGATACTGAAAATCCAGCAGGACCTGCATAATTATGTAAACACACTAATTTAATCGATCCTATAGATTTCAGTGAGTAATGTCAATTTCTTCAAATCATTCGTTTCTCTTCGACACCACTTTATCATTTTCGTAAAAGACATAAAGCGACTTAAAGGCTCTTTAGACGATACTTCTTTGTCCATATTATGGCCAATGATGAGCAATTTCCCGAGAGTTTAGCGTGGGTTGAGCGTGGATCGGTTCTCATACGTCGCATGAACTCTGAACGTGTTGCAGAAGATCCACGCGTACGTCGTTTATTGCTTAAGTTATTGCTACCTCCGTCTCCTACTGAAGTAATGGCAACGGAAGCGATTGCAGAAGAAAATGCAGCAGCGGAAGAAGTAGAAGAAAAGATGGCGGTGCATCCGTCACTTTTACAGGATACGCAGGACAGTTTTGAAGCTATTGAAGTGGCAAAAGACGCTAATGACGTCAAACAGGAGAGTGAGAATGCAGCTTCTAATACATACCGAGTCTTGCTATGGACTTATCGACTACAGGTTTCTTTGCAAAGTGCAGTACAATATGCTTTATTTGCAAAGACAAGTGATGATGGATGTTTCATTCAAATAGCACCAAGGTTTGTTGTCTCTTAAAGAAAGAGAGAGAGAGCGAGAGAGAGAGAGAGTATGAACCAGTCTCTTTTGTTTTGTGTCGTTGCTGTAGAGTTTATTGTGTGGCACCACCACATATCACAACCTTCAGTCGGTTGCTTGGAGCGTACTCGTCGGCACGCAATTGGAATGCGGCAGTAAAAGTGCTGGAGCTATTGGATTTACAAATGACGAAAAGGTCTTGAGTGTTTTTTTTCTGATATGGATGTATAGAGAATGAATTGCTGACTCTAGTGCTGTAGATTTGAAGATGAAGCGTGTGTGTTCGACTGTGGTTTGTTTGACGGAGTCAAGCGTATGCATCACAAACCATTGGTGTTTGATGAGTTTTGTGGTATGTTTCCATGGTGTGATTGCATGTCATGAGAGGTGTTGTGATTGAAAATTGTACGTTGTGGGATACTTTTGTACGTTACAGATGGACGGATTGCTTCTATTTCGTATCGCCGTGGCCCAATTCCATCAATGCATTCAGGGTTCATAGTCACCTCGACCGTAGCTGCATGGCTGGATCTTAAACCCTCGAACGTTGCAATTTTGCTCGCACCAAACAACGAGCAAATGAGCGTGTTCGCAGCGTGCTGTACGCTCTACTGCACGGATGCGTCTTCGTTCCCTGAAAACTTTGGAAACGAGCTGCTAAGTGCATACTTGCAGCACATTAAGATGGCTGAAACGTGGCCTGCTAAGCTGCAACGAACGTTCAGCGGAAACGATCCGAGAAACGCAGCATATACCGGTGGATTACCAAGGCCTCAGGCGCGATACATTGCAGACTTTGGTAAATTGCTGGAGGTGCGCGACAGGAAATTAATGGACTGCGCGGACTCTTCTGCGCTAGAGGAGAAGAAGCAGAAGCTCACGGGTATCGCTGTTACACCGGCACCTCGACCAATTTACATCCGGCAAATTGACTTGTTGTCGGGCCCAGATTGTGCAACTGATACTGCTAGTTCAACCCCTGCTACCATATCGCCACTAGCTGACATCTGTCGGCCTTATTTCGTCATTCAAAACGAGAAGGGGGTTTTGTTTTCCAGCATCGTGAATGGAGTACGAGATGTGGACCTCCATTCTGGAGTACACATATTTCAGGTGGGAAGGCAATTGCAAAACTGCAGTGATCTGATGTTCAAGATGTACCATTTGCCTTTCGGACGACAGGGTGAATTGCTGTTTGAGTGCCGACTGCACGCCAGCATCCTGTTAGATCAGCAAGTTGTCGACGGAGAAGCTGGTATTGAAGAAGGTGATGTGGGGTTCACTACCCTGTACCTTGAAAAGGGCGAATTTGACTGCATTTCGTCGACGTTTTCACTACCTAAGCAGTTTGCGGTTCGAATTCTGTACTCGCACAATTCCAGCGCTTTTCCAGCCATGGAGTCATCTCTTCCTGTAAGGCAGATGAATGAGATTAGCTCGGGTTTAACGGAGGCAGCTGATCATACGAACGGGGATGCGGCCCATGTTAGCTCCTTTGCCGAGCAGCAACGGCGCGCCAGTAGTGAGAAGGCTATGCGGTACGATGGTCCGAGCGCTGTCACCTTTTTGCTGGGGCAACCTGGTGTTCGGACACCATTTGGAGATCTTACCTTAGAGAAAATTGATGTGATTCGGAAGACGCATAGAAACCGAGTGGATATCTATCTGCTCTTTCACGTGAATGCTGGTCACGGCCAAACAAAAGTGATGCCACTGCGGCATTTGTTCCGTTTCGTGCTTCCCGACGTTGTTCGCAAACAAGTAGTCATGATGGGAGCGAGTGAAGTGTCACTGGATGAGAACGTGCCTTCTTCCTTTGACATGGGTGCAGGTGCGCATTTTTCTTCGCTATTGTTGTAAGGTATCTTTTGTATAACAGTGCCGTGTCTGTAGGAATAATGCCTTTCGATGAGGAGTATGCACGATGGCTGCAGCATTTGTATGAAACCGACCTGGGTAAGAATTGTCATGGATAGGAATGGAAGGCTTCGCTGAGATTCTGATCGTTTTGTGTTGTTGTAGATACGCCGGGGAATAACTATGATGACGAAGTACGTGGATAGATACATTTGTTTCTTTCAATTAGCTTTTAGCATGTTTGATTTACTCATGTCGCCTTGCTGCAGTTTGTGAGAGGTATTTTGGTCACCGACATTCATCCAAGCCTGGATTATCGGATCGGTAAGTTACCTCGAGTAATGTTGGTACGAAGATGACTAAGTTGCTAACGTCCCGTTGGAACCTCGCAGTAAGCATTGAAACCGATGTTGACGAGAGGTCCCTTTCCGTCCAAAACCAGCACGGCCATCGCAATCAAACATCGAAATTGTATGCTAAATCGCTGTCTACTGGATCTAGAGCTGAACTAACGCCGATTCGTGTTGCTTCAGTCGTGGCGCATCGACATCGCTTATTCATCAACTCCCAACATACATCTTCAGCGCAGCAAAGGAGCACGATGGTCATGGCATTCCTGAGTACGTCTGTGGTCACCTCTGCTAGTGACAATTCCATCACTTACTCGGCCTGTGGCCACCGTTGTCTGTAGTTGTCTGATATGCCGCTGCAGCTTTGAGGTCGGTGAGGAGATCAAGTCGTTGCCGTGCTTTCACTCGTATCACTCCGATTGCATCGATTTGTGGCTGTCTCTGAACAAGGTTTGTCCAGTTTGCCAGTTCAGCGTCGACCAACTTAGCTAAGGCAGACGTTGTCATCCCACACATGATGTGACATTGCTGTGAAAAAAATGAAAATTGTGAATTGATAAGTTATTCATATCAAGCATTATAGGAAGCCCTGTTTGTCACGCAGGAACTTAATGCTGCCATCAAATTATAAAGAGACCCACTTCATGTTAGCGCAGCAGCACCGCTCGTAAACTATTTCATAGAGCCTGATTAATGGTCGATAAGGAATATTTGAACAACACCAATTACAACACCTAGTACGCCGCCCATGACCACGAGTTTCCACTCGTCTTCCTCAAAAATAGGGTGCAGCAAACGTTCGAATTGCTCTGAGGTCAGCAGTTTCATTTTTTCACGCAGCGTTACCTCCAAGTCCATGGCAACGGTGGCGTAGCTCTCAATCTGTCGAAGACTCTCCGGAAATATCTCCACAATGTGGTTTGTCACATCTTCCTTGATGTTGGCGTACATTTCCTCGCCAATGCTAAAATTGATAATCTTTTGCGTGGTAACAGTTGCAGCATTGACAGCATCCTGCACATTGTCGTACACGAGCTCAAATAGACGATCCGAGTACGGACCCTTCAAAATAGCCTCAAAAATATTGCGTGAGTTCAGGATGTCGCGAGCGACTAAATTTCCGTAAACCTCAGCAACTTCGTTCTGACGTCGAAGGAACAGACCGTGGAAGGTTATGCCGCAATACCTTTTGGGGTTCACAGGCTCAAAAATCATCTTAAGAGCGAGCCAGTTAGTGATGGTACCCACAAGCAGGCCAACCACCGGAAACACCACAATAGGATCCGAGTACACGAACCAAATCCCCATTTGCATGAGACCGAAAATTCCTCCCATATAGGCACCTGAGTTCCGAATAAAAGCCAACTCAGAGTAGCCACACGTGACAAACATGTTCACTAGAAGCTGCTTGTCCTTGCACATATTAGTAACAACCATATCCTCCAGATCAAAGACATCTTCAATGTTGTTGCGGATTTCATCCATGAGGGCTTCAATATGTGCAGGCGATTCCTCCTTCACTTTCTCGACAATCTCCTCCTTTACCTTGGCCGGTAGCACAGCCCACAGGTCCGGACTGTACTTCAGTGCCATGTCTTCTACGACCGTATGAATCGTATTAAACAAAATTGGCTCCAACTCCCTAACAACTTGTGCCGGTTCAATCTTGGCAAAGATTTCCGACACGTCTAGCAATTGACGTGTCATAATCTGCACCGCCTGTCGAGCCATTTTTTCTCCTTTATTCGGGACAATTCCTTGCCATCCCAAGCCCGTATTTGTGTCTGGAAGCTGCAAACATCCTGTATACTCCAGTGGATAAAAGGTCATCCATAATGCCATCCAAATGTGAAGATACGTAAACACCACACTAACAAGAGGAATGGAGCCATATTTCACCAAATTCTCCGAATCAATCCCAATCTCAGCAAGAGGTTTACGTAATACTGTAAATGACAGAATAGCCAATACAAGAAACAGCAATGTACCAAACAGTACAGGCATGGTCGGCATCTCAATCATTGGAGGAAATTTCACTGGAATTGTCTTTTCAAGTGACAACTTGTGCTTCTTTTTGTCTTGATTTGGAGAAGTTCTAAGTGGTACAAAATCCGTCACAATAGTCACAGATTCGTCCTGTGTAGCCACTTGTACCATACCTAATAGAGTAAAACGAAGGCTTGTAGCAAGTTCAGGAGGGTTTAGTCGGGCCCACTCGGCAGCACTAAAGCACACAACGTCAGCACCTTTACAGCCTTTTAAAGATCCAATTAAATGCGAATAACGACCGTTTTCAAAACGTTTAAGCCATTCTTCAAGCTGTTGGGACGTCCAGAATTCAGGGTTTAGTAATAACGCTTGCTTGGAATCCATGGGGTACACTCGGGATACGGAGGGGTTACAAAAAAGTACGAGAACGAGATAACCAAAAGAGATAAATTGGGTAATAGGTGCTGGATAAAAAGAATGAGGAAGAGAAACGTGCTCCAAAAGACCGTGGAATAAATTTTAGTGAGAAACGAAAAAAAATGGCTCCGTTTTAGTCCACTCGGATTTAGTAAAAACAAATACTGTTGATGCAATCATTTCACATCGGTTCAATTAACACCTTTTTTTGTGAGTATGAACAACGGAATTTGCTTTTATGTAAACGCCATCGCGTCCAGCCTGAAATGTCACATTTTAGCTGCATACTTGCATGCATGCTTCTATCTACATTACCGTCGCGCCTTGCCATGTCCATCAGACGATGGACAAAAACGTGGAAAAAAGCACGCTGGACTTTTCGTACAATTGCAGTACGGTACTTTCACTTTACAATAGAAAATACCTCTTGAGCCCCTTAAAAACTTTCTTATGTGTGGTACATCTGGGCGACTAGCGCGTAGCCGCCGTTACTCGTGCGTAGACTGCTGGCAAACATGTGCTATAATTTACGCGATTGTCGTCCGGCAACGTGCAAAGGTATTTGACGCCAGAGCCGACCGTTTTTTTCGAAGCGGTGATCGTACCCTGTTCATTTGTACGTACTTTTAGCAGCCCTTCCTGTCCTTCTCCGTTTCGAAAGTGCATCATGGAGCGTACCACCATAGAGTAGTAAGCCACCTGCATACCTCTATAAAGACGTAGGCCTTCTCCCGTTTGTACGTCCTTCTTATCCAAGATCTAGAAATAAACTTTCTTGGTCACGCCTTTAAGCTGTGTACGCAGCTAATCTCAGGCTGCAAAGTATCGTCAAGCACCGCTATAGATGGACTGCGCACAAGTGACCAGAGGTCTAGGTACTCTCTTTGTTTCACTCGCAAGAGCGAGCCAAAAGTATCAGCGCGTAGCTTCAAACATAAGCAAGTGAACATCTTTTTATCTCACTTGTCGAGACCACCGAGATAGTCAAAATGATCCGTATTATTATAGCTGACTTGTTATCTATCCTCCAGCTACCTATACGAATTTCTTATACTTAATTCAAAGTTCCGATATCAAATATAGACATCTTCCAAAATCTGACCTGTTCCAGAACTGGATACGTATTCTTTTTTACAAATACAAAATCCACCTTTTACAAAAAGTTGTTTTTTATACAAAAAGGGGGATCAATCTTCAAAAAAAGACCCAAGATACAAGTCGAATAAAACACACACGCGATGGGTGTTATTCCAGTGCTTAATGACTCGGATTGGAACGCGCAGATGGAACGAGCCGGTGGCAAACTCATTGTCGTGGACTTTTCTGCTGTTTGGTGTGGTCCCTGTCAACACATTAAACCCATTTACCATCAACTAAGTGATCAATATCATGACGTGGTGTTTTTGGAAGTCGATGAAGCGCAGAATCGCTCATTAATTGGTGCATTGGGCGTCCGTGGCTTTCCAACGTTCCATTTCTATATGAATAAGAGCAAAATTGATGAACTCGTTGGTGCTGATCCAAGTCAATTACGTGCTAAAATTGAGCAATGGCGTCAATCGGCGTTTAATCCATTTGCGTCACCAGGAATGACACTTGGTGCTGGGTCCAATGCGACGATTAAACCTCTTTCTACTATAGAAGCTCGAGAGGCTCGACTCAAGAGATTTAATGACGTGAGTCTAGTCCCTAATGTTCCAGCTTCGACTAATACGGAGGCTGTTACAAAGCCTGTCGTGCCGGTTTCAAACATGGTTTGCGACCAGGTGACTGGTATTTGTCGTCCTAGAGATGATGATGAAGAGATGAAGGAGGAAAGTGGCGAGATGAATTCTCCAGCGGTGAATAAAGACCTGCTGATGCAATTGAAAGAAATGGGGTTTAATGAACTACGCTGTCGCAAGGCGCTACTGGCAACGGATAGTGAGGGGTTAGAGGTGGCTATAAATTGGCTGGATGACCATCAGGATGATGCGGATATCGATGAGCCGATCAAGTTTGTCGATTTATCGAAAACTGCATCAAAACAGGAGCTGACACCTGAGGAAAAGGCTGCAAAGGTCGAAGAGTTGAAGCTTCTTCTTGAAAAGAAGCGTCTGGAACGCGAGGAACAAGAAAAAGTGAATCAGCGTCTGAATGAACTGAAACGTCGTACCGAAGGGCAGGGATTGTTGGAGGCTCGTGATGAAATTGAGGCTATTCAACGGAAGATTGCTGCCGAGCGGATGAAGAAGGACAAGGAGGACGCCAAGCGCGAGCGTGAGCGTTTGCGTAAGCAGATTGAGATGGACAAGCGTGAGCGTCAGGCTCGCGGCGGTCGATTGGGGGGTCCTCCAATTAACGTTGCGCCCATTATTGAGGTGAGCACCGAGAAGGAAGAAGAGAAGAAACCAAGCCTCGTGCTGACACCGAAAGAGCAGGTTGTGAAAAATGTGGGCATTCTAAAAAAGTATCGTGTTGGTAATGACGGACTCACAGCTCTCAAGACGCTGAACGTGTATGTGAAGAACCTGGTTGAGAAGCCCGACGAAGAAAAGTTTCGTACGATCAACCTAGAGAACCCAGCGTTTCGTAAACGTGTGGCTAGCCTTGTAGGTGGCGTGGCTTTCCTGAAGAGTCTAGGCTACAAGAAAGACGAGGCTGATGGCAATCTCAAACTCACAGTGGAAATGCGTGACGTGGAGCTGCTGCAATATGCTCGTTCTCAGCTTGAGGGCGCGATTGCTGAGCTCTCGAATTAATTCCCCAAATAAGAATGTGTTAGACGTGGGGTGAGGGATGCGCTGCACTCGCTTAATGCTCATGCTTTCGTTTGACATTACTCAGCTGGTTAGTTATCTTCTGTACGAACACAATGCGTTACTTGTGACAAATGACTTCCACATTTACACGAAAGCTTCACTCGTGCGACCAGCGCCACAGCTCCAAAGTAGCAAGCACTAATTCCCACTACATCCTTTATATAACCCCCTATAGCGAGAAAAAGCGGCTGAACAACCCCTCGGCTGGCTTTTCCGCCTCATCAGGCTTAACCTTGGCACCAAGCTCTCCCCTGTCCGTGCGCTCTTGCAGAGGAACATGAGCCCCTCGTATGGGCGGCGAAATGACATCGGTTTGGATACCACTTACGATAATGGACACGTACACAGATCCATCGAGCGACTGATCGTAGCAAGTGCCGAAGATGATGTTGGCTTCGTCGTGCACACGGTTGCGAATGATCTCCATGATTTCATCCACTTCGAAAAGCGTCATGTCCTCACCACCACGAATAGTCACCAGTAGGCCGTGTGCCGACTCAGTTGGTAGGTCACCCAGCAATGGGTTCACTAATGCCTGTTCAGCTGCTTTACGAGCGCGACCTTCCTCGCTAGAAACGCCTGAGCCCATAATGGCACGACCTGCATTTGACAAGATCGTCTTGATGTCGGCGAAATCTAGATTAATGAGTCCTGGACGAACAATCAGGTCTGTCACGCCCTTGACACCTTCCAACAACACATCATCGGCATACCGGAACGCATCGAGCATAGTAGTACTCTTGTCCGCTAGTGCCAACAAATTTTGGTTTGGCACAACAATTAGCGTGTCGACATACTTGGCCAATTCCTTTACACCAGCATTCGCCAATCGGGTGCGGTTGGGACCTTCAGAGCGAAATGGCGTGCTCACGACACCAACTGTCAAGATATTCAACTCTCTGGCTACACTCGCTACAACGGGCGCTGCTCCGGTACAAGTGCCTCCACCCATTCCACCCGTGATAAATAGCATATTACTGCCCTTCAGCATCTGCTCAATTTCCGTCTTTTGCTGTTCTGCAGACCGTTTACCCAGCTCCGGTTTGGATCCAGCTCCCAGTCCCTTGGTAATGTCTTTCCCTAGAGTGATCTTAGAAGGAGCCAGCGACCGTCCCAATGCTTGACAGTCCGTGTTAGCCACAACAAACTCGACACCTTCAAGTTGTGACGCAATCATATTGTTCACAGCGTTACTACCTGCTCCACCAAGACCCATCACTGTGATCCACGGCTTCCCGTCCTTAAATGAAGCCACCAGCGGTCGTTTTTTACCTTCCTCCTTGTTAGTAACTTCTCCTTTAACAGAAGACGTCAATGGTCTAGCAGAGACATTGTCTTCTACTGGTGCTGCATGAACTGGCGCTGTCATTGATCGTTTCCGCCGCTCATTAACTCGCTTGGGTCTTCGTGAAGATGCCGCAGACGTATCTGCGTTGTTTCCATTGATCGTGGCAGCGTCAAACGTAGCGCTAGACTCCGTCTGTAGCCATCTTGTAGTCTCCAGCAGCGGTGAAAGATGAGAAACAGACGATACTGTCACTTGACGAGAGAGAAGGAGGAGGGAAGAGCACCGAGATGTCATGACCGAGTGCTTCGAGAGGGAGCCACTGAAATAGAAGCGGTTTAGACCAATAAAAAGAGAGAACGAAAGTGATTTTAGTGCACAAAATGTATATTTGTCAATGAACAGTGGACAATTTACGTCAACAGGGTGTTTGTTTATACAGCAAAAGCCACTTTTTATTCCTTCTTCTCACACTCTCTCTTTTGTTGAATCAAACTTTGGGCCAATAGGTAATTCTTCTTGAAATTTGCGCGTTGGTCTTTTTTAGAAAGCTTTATATCCCCAGTCTCTAAAGCTTTTTGTGTAAAGTCCTTTATTTGCTCTGCAATTTCCTCGCACCACTCGGGCACTTCGTGTTTCAGGTGTTCATTACTTTGCAAAATTTCTTCCAAATTCTCCCCAATTCCAGGTAAGTCCTCTGCCAAATCAAGAATCAGATGCCGTCTCTCAGTGTTTTCACGGCGAAGCAGCTTCGAAACTTGAGCCTCGTCGCGGTTAGCTGCGACCGCAGCGCTGTTTGCAAGAAAGGCAATTGTGACTACCAACAGAACGGAATACACACGCATAAGGTGTTTTCTTGATCAGTGACACTAACTTGGGTGTTGTGAAGTAGATTGCTGAATGAGGAGATGAATAACTAACAGTGCCTTGTTTCTTCAGTGGCAGCTGAGTGCGGCCACACACAACAAATCTCATGCTGACTACGTTGCCTGATCGTAGAGCCCTGCTCTGTCATCATTCTGTAAATCGAGAAAGTCACACACCGTCTATTCGAGTCTTACTACTCATTACTAACATATGTCTGGTTGAATGGTAACTCGTTGCATCTCGCCTCGCTTTCTCATTCTACTGGCTTAAGAGTTTTTGAGATTCACGGCGGGGCACTCCAACAAGGGCACGGGGATCAATTCGGTGACCACACCCAGGGTTAGCGTTGTGTGCACTCTAAATCGAGCTGGACTGCTTTCGCTCTTGTAGCAATCTGATTCAGGGGACAGTGGACAGTTTTGTTTTCACTGTGGAAGTGTAAACGAGCCATCATGACGTAATCCTTGGCTTTCACCTCGTAGTCGACTTGCTCTGCTCTTTAAGTCGAATCTTGGGGTCCAACCATGCTCATATTTGCCTAGACGCACCACAGGACAAAGAGTATCTAGTGTACATCAACAATTGATATCGGGGGCTCCTTGCAAGGTAGAGAGAGAGGTTCAGACCGTCTATTACATGGTGTTAATTATGTGCAAGATCTCTGGAAAGTCCTGAGCCAGTACTCCCACCCAAGGTAAGGGGGTCAGTTTCCTGGGCCAGGAAACAGGCCTCCTCAAAGATAGAGACGAGACCCTTCAGGACCTGGCTTCCTGAAGGGTCTCGTCTCTGTTGTCGCCTTTGACTAATCGTTCTTCACGCCTCATACAGAATGTCTTGTACCACCTTTGACTGACTTCCACGGTCGTCCAGCAGTATTGATCGTTTCTGTGTTTGCAAGCCATGGACAGCGTTCGCTTAGCAGGTTCACGTGCAACTGCCTGTACTTCATCAACAAAGTATTTTGCAGGTTGCAGTGGGTGGACTGCAGGAAAACAAAACCCAGCCAGTTCACTATCCCATCCGCACGCAAACGCCAGCGCAAGTACACGACGAACTCTGAGCGGAGTTGATTCGTCGGGAGGTCGGACGCGACGTCAGCGCGAGGACATGGGACAAAGCGGTCCTCGACTGCGGGTCAAGTATCCAGCGAATAACGAATAGAGAGCACGTCGAATCCGACAGAAGATCCAGGCACGAGCTCGTTACGCACCTGCTTACGGGAACGAGTTACATACATACAATTGAAGAGGAGCTTCGATTGGCACAAACCATTCGATTAGGCCCTCGCCTGAACGTCACCTGCATCGTTTTTGGAGTGAATTGATCATCCCGTCGCGGACTTTTCTAGAATCTTGTAAATTATAACGGTAAATACACACCACCTTTGACTGGCTCGCCACTTTCATGGCGAGTGCTTGCGATAACTGCGGCATTCATAATAAGAAGTATCCTATCGACGACATTTCTCACGAGATACTGTGGCACGAGTCTTCGCGTAAGACGTTAAGCCAATATCTCGACAAACTATTTTTGCTCAGCATCAATCTAACAAACGAAAATACGATACGTCGTGTTCATTGAGATATGCATGTCGTGCTGTCGGATCATAAGATTTCTTGAGTTGCTTGCTACCTTAAAAACACTGCCAAGCACATTAGCGAATAGCGTCGTGCACTAGAGTAAGCAGTTCTAACGTCGCACGCTAACAACATTGATATCAAATGAACGACCGACCAAGGATGTTATGCTATAATAGAAGTCATAGACGTATTAGTTGGAGGGCTGGGCGGGCGTCATCCATCTCCTTCACTATGAATACACCTTGTATATCACACACACAAGGGTGGGTCACGTTGTGCAGGTGACAAGGTAAGTATACACGACTCCCCGCGTTAAGTATCATGTACTAACAAGTACGTGTAACCTTGGGCATATACCCCGTTCCACTTGAGTTTCTCGTCAGACTGTGCGATCTTTCTCAATTTGCGAGATAAAACAATGTCGACGATGCTGAAGAATGCACGTATACTAAGAAACTTTTTAGTAGTATACGATTTCTGTTGTAGCATCTATACCGCAGGGTTGTAATTCTCAGATAGTATCTAAATATTGGCGGTGATCTCTCCGACGAAGGCGTATACTATACGAGTAGCGTGACAGATATAAGCATCAAAGGTAACTCCAAGCCAAAAAGCTGATCAATTGTGCGAGACAAGTACCAAGTATCTGTCCGGTAACTTGAGACAGCAGAAACTCTGCAGATAATACACAATGATATTATGATGTAGTAGAGAAGAATGGCAAGGAGTTCTGTAGGTGATTCCACTTGCGGCTAAAAACCGAACAGCCGGCTTCTTCGTGCCGTGCGATGGTCTCTTCGCTGCTTTTTACCTCAATAAATTGGATCGCCGCCTGTTTTGCTTCAGGAAGGAGCCAAACTCTACTTTACGCAAGATGCTTGTTCGTATTTAAGTGTTCAAAGACGGTTTGGTGAACATGGTGGGATGGCTTCATCCCCTTGAGGTGTTGGCTGCTTTAGCTATGACAAACAAGGAGTTTGCTAAGCACATGCAAATTGACAAAAGCATCCAGCTTCCTACGACGACCACGTGAGCGAGGTGTTAAAGGGTATAAAGTGCTTGCAGTGTCGCGTTACGAGCTAGATTTCATCAGACTTTTTAATGTACTAATAACTTTACACATCACGCTTCTCCCTGATATTTTTTCTTCTCTCACTCTCGCCTATACAGTACGAAGAAACGACGGTAGAGATTGAGTATAAAGGCGGGCCACTTACTACACTGCAAGGTTGACTGCAGTTCGTTACGCAATACCGTAGTATCAATGCACTCTTCCTCTCAACGGTCGGTATTTTGTGTTCCGATTGGCTCTGCATATGAAACACTGCTTAGATCATCCGTCAGATCTATTCCAGTCGCTTACAATCTACCCTGCGACAGTAACACTTCTATTAGAACGCCTAAATGTTTCGTCGATGTATCAAAGTGAACACTTGTATTGTTGCTGCAAGTCTCATCGCATGACTCACTTTCCTATGAATGGTAGCAAGTATTTAAAACGGCATGTCCTGAGCCATTTGGGTCATATCGCTTTGTGAGTTGGAGTCTATGCCTTTCATCTGCTTCATCATCCGCATCATGTTCTGCGGTCCACCCATCTGTGCCAACATCTTGGGGTCCATGACCTTGGAAAGCTGCTGCATCACAGCGTTCGGGTTGCGGGTCATCTGCTTGCCAAGCGCGGCGTCCCCCGTCTTCATAAGGCCACTTTTTCCCATGCGGCTCACAACAGTCGCAAACTGCTTGTGGCACTTCAATAAGAACTCCACCTCATAAACTTGGCAACCCGAGCCACGTGCAACTCGCGTCTGGCGCGATTCCGAAAGCGGGACGACACCATCGAGCTCGGCATCCGTCATACTGTCCATCATGAAGAGGAACCGTCGAAGCCGTTTCGAAGATTCCTCCTCCCCTCCGCCCATGTTCATCATCTCGTTCATGCCCTGAGGCAGTCCAGGAATCATTGACATGACTTTACTCAGCGGACCCATCTTCATAACGCTCTGAAACTGTTTGTACATGTCACGCAACGTAAATACGCCCTTCTGGAACTTTTCGACCAACTCATCGCGATTGTCGAGCATGCCGCTAGTTTTCACTTCCTCCATCAACCCCCTGATGTCTCCCATTCCCATTAGACGACTCACAAAGCTCTGGGCATTAAACGACTCAAAGTCCGCAAAGTGTTCACCTGTACCGTAGAAAACGATGGGCGACCCGGTGGCCGCCACGGCACTAAGAGCACCTCCTCCCTTGGCATGACCATCCAGTTTGGTAATTATCACACTGCGTACATCCACCATCTGACGGAAAGCTTTGGCCTGGTCAAAAACAGCCTGACCGATGGTCGAGTCCATGACAAACACGACATCGTCTGGCTTTACCGCCGCCGAGACCTCTTTCATCTCTGCAAACAAATCCGTCTCCTGTTTATGACGACCACTAGTATCCACAAGAATCAGTTCATAGTTCTCAGCTCTGAACTGAGCCACACCTTCCTCTGCAATCCGAACAGGGTCGGCCTCCGTGTAGCTGCCGTAAAATGGGATGCGCAGCTTGGTAGAATTTTGCTTTAGCTGGTCAAAAGCTCCAGCACGAAACGTATCTGCACAGACCATACAGGTCTTCCAGCCTTTACGCTGGTAGTAGTGCGCGAACTTGGCAATGCTTGTAGTCTTGCCACTGCCCTGAAGTCCTACAAACATAATGACGTTGCTCTGACCTTTCTTCATTTTGTAGGGCTCAGCCTCAGGCTGCAGCATCTGTACCAGCTGATCAACCACTGACTTCTGGATGAGGCGGCGGCGATACATGCCCGAACTCACGTCCTCGAGATTCACAGCCAGCTTGACATTGTCGCGGAGTTGGCGCACAAGACTTACCTGCACATCCGACTGGAGCAGTGCCCCACAGATCTCTTTAAGCAGAGCATTGAGTGCTTCATCATCAACTACCGTCGTCCGGTTTAGCTTCGCTAACGCTTCCTGTAGTCTCGACCCGAGTTCGGCTAAGACCATGGTCGCGCGAATTCGTGTCACCCCGCCCCCCTAAAAAACCGTTTCTCAAAAGAATGACTTGCGTTTTGTAACGGAGAGTCGTACACTTGATTGTTGTAAGAGATGACGACCAACATTCTTCTTACGGTTGTTAGATGGTTGTTCTAGAGTGTTGGTAGTCTTGAATTTGCGACGTTGATGAGCAAGTGGTTGCAGTCGTTGGTGTCACTTTCTATTGTGCACTCTCGCTTTGTGTCTCCATCTGTTTGTTACCGAAGCTTTACCCTCTTGTCTAATATGTCCAATAGTAATAGTGAGACAGTGAAATTCTCGGACGAGGAATGGAAAAAACGATTGACGCCGACGCAGTTTCAAGTACTGCGTCTTAAAGGAACGGAACGAGCTGGTACTGGAGAGTATAACAAACACAAGGAGACGGGAGTGTATGTCTGTGCTGGATGCAAGACACCTGTCTATACGTCTACGACCAAGTTCGACTCGGGATGTGGCTGGCCTGCGTTTTATGACGCCATTCCCGGTGCTATCAAGGTGCGTCAACACGTCGAAGGCTGTGGTCTTAGTGGTTGTATCGGGTCTAATGATAATGATGGTACAGGCTGTTGCTGACGAGGACGGACGTCGCACCGAGATTATGTGCGCCAAGTGCGGCGGGTGAGGATACTAGAGTCTGTGACGAGGCATTCTTTTGGATGCTAATGCTTTGGTGTATGTGTGTGTTTGTGTTTGTGTTTGCTGATGTAGTCACATGGGTCACGTGTTTAAAGGTGAAGGTTTTAAGACACCGACTGACGAGCGTCACTGTGTGAACAGCGTGTCACTCATCTTCCACGAAGGGGAGGTTCCTTCTCAGTGAAAAGGCACATGTACTTGGTTTATCTTGCTGTCCGCTGTTTGATATGGCTACAAGTAGTAAGATTAAGCTTTTTTGATCAGATCAGAAGATGGTGGTCAGAAATTACGAGGTGAAACTAAACAATGAATCTTTGCTACAGTAAAGTATCGTCTTCGTGGTCAATGCAGTCTTCCAAGCTGCTGTCAGCAGTGAGGTGCTCTAGCACTGCAGGGTGTAAGACGTAATGCTGCTTTCGGGTTGGCGTCGTAGGCAACAGCCAATCTTTTATCGTCTCTCCAAAGACAGCCTTCAAATTCTTTCGCAATCCCTGGTTGAATGGAAACGCACGGCCGTAGTGGTGACATTCAATAGTAGTAGCACCGTGGACTAAGAGATACGAATGAACTGCTATGAAGCCCAGCAAACTAATTGCCAGTGCGCCACCTAGTACAAATCCGACAACAGCCAGAGCAGAGAAGTTGTTAACAGCATTGTGTGGGGCATTCTCACTGAAGATTGCCGCCTGAAAGGACCCAGCAAGTGCTCTCACACACATTGACAAAGCGAAGAACGCGTACACGATGAAATGAAAGAAACACTTGTAGTTGCCTTCACCGACGCAGTTAGCGACCCATGGACAGTGATGATCTGCACACAAAGAGCGATTGATTATATCAATAACCCATGTAATGCAAATACCGCCTTCTTATCTTCCATACCCATTTTCAACACACAGCGATCACAGAAACTGCAGTGATGCGCTCGAAAAGGTTTGAGCAGATTGCATCGTCGGCACAAGGTCATCGTTGGTTGGCTCGTATTATCACCTTCTTCCATCGCATCTTGCATGGCGTCTTGAATGCGTTGCACCACAATAGGTGTGACATATCCAGGGTCTGTAGCCCAGCAGCAGCAGTAGCGACACACAAACATTGAGGTTCAAGATCCACCCTCACTCAACACCTCTGGGTACTGACGATCATACCTGTAAACACGACCTTGTAGTACGCAACCAGCATGCATCCAATTAAAAAGTGGAACAGCACAACCTCTAGTATCCGTAATAGTACGAAGAACCCTACGGACCGTTGGATTTCAGGAAGCCAATGCTCTGTCATGAAGACAAAGTACTCTAGACTTACAATAGCTACCACCATGAGCACAGGAAGTGTTGACACCGTGCGAAGTAGTGCACTGCATACAATATTTATCAGCACATGGTCAGCCTTTCAGACAAAGTGAAAAAAACGTTAAACAGATTTTATAGCATAGACACGCACTTGTCGTGAACGCGCAGCATCGTGTCTGCTGACTGTTGTAATAAACAACAATTTCTTAGCTGGATGTGAACCGTAGAAACTAATTACCTTAGTCGAATAATGCTTTGAAATACCTGTCCCTACAGTATACAAGGTAGTTTGCTACTATATAATACAATAGTCTAGTATAACGCATTGTTTTAAAATAGGATACCTTACGGTACTGGTTAAGTGCTATTACAACTTCCCCATCTGTATTGATAACAATAGCGACAGGGTAACGACCATGGGGAATCAAGTGACACTGCATAGCGCCTGTGAACGTGGAGACCTAACGGAGGTGCATCGGATACTAAAGACAGTAACGACCGAGGAGCTGGAGGCGACGGACGAAAGCGGCCGCACACCTCTGCTACTTGCAGTCGCCAGCTTGAAGCATTTGTACGTGTATCAGGAGCTGGAGAAAGATTTCGACGGTTTTTACGGCTTTGCAGACAGCGAAGAGGCAGATACGACCTTCGTTTCTCCAACAAAGGAGGAGCAAGAGCATGAAAAAGAGCAAGAACAAGTAAGTGCAGAGAGCAGCACTAGCGAGACCGTAGTGAATGAAGACGCGGAGCTGGAGTTTCTTCCCAAGGAAATCGAGATCCTGCATCTGCTGCTACAACACCGTGTCAATGTGGACCACAAGGACGAGAATGGATGGACAGCGCTGCATTACGCATGCTTTGTTCAGAATGCCGTGGCCATCAAGATGCTGATCCACGCGGGTGCACGACCAATGAGAGAAAGTTACGGGTTGCTGCCGCAGGATTTACTGCAAAGGGGGCACATGTCGGAGTGGGTGGTTCAAGCTCAAGAACTGAAAGAGTCGTTGGATCAAATTGTGGACGATAGTGGTTACATGATAAAGCTGCTGGCATTTCGACCTAGCGGGATTGTACAATTGGACATGGGTGGACAGGTTGAGAAGGGGTCCTTTGTTACATGTAAGTACGATTTTGCTGATTGAACTTGCTGTGGAAAGGGTAGTACCGACGCAGCCTATGTGATTTCTGTATGCAGTAGAGTACGACGTGCCAGAGACACATTCTGTAAAGGATTATATTCAGGTGCTCATTTCAAAGGAAGATTCGACAGCGATCGAAACGGGACCTTTTCATTATGTGCCAGAGGGTGGGCACGGACAGTTGACAATCAGTACGAAGGACATCCCGTCAGCTTGTACAGTTCGCTTCGTGTACGTGAAGAGCGACATTAACAGGATGTCTAGAGAGGTGATGGCCAGCGGTTGCAACGCAGTGGTACAGGCTTCAGTTGGTGAGATCTTTCAGTACGAGTTATTTTTGTACGAGCGTGTGGTGGAGGTGGAGAGCATTTCAGAATTCGAGTTTATTGATCAACCTTCGATTGTACTAAAACGTATCGGCATCGTCAGCGGGGAGGAAATCGAGTGGGCCGCCATCCTACCTGACAATCACATCGTTGCAGTGAACGATATTCGGATCGACGCGATGGATTTTGCAGAGGCCGTGCGCGTATTGCAGGAGAATAATGGCAGGCAATGCACAAAATTACTTATGCAGAACTACTCGGCATGCGGTGACTTCATCCCGGAGAAAATACTTGGCGTGGGTGTCGTTGGAAAATACACATGCTTGTATCCGGTAGACGAAGGCAAAGAAGTTGAGGGTGGTGAGCAGAAATATGAGGCATGGATGCATGAAGAGACAACACGGGAGTATTCGCCGTCTTCGGTATCGTTACAAGTGCCTCAAGCTGAGGCACGTGTATTAGTAAGCAAGCTGACTGTCGACGATGACGATGACCCTGCCGCGATGGACAGAATGGAGAAATGTTCTTCTTCTTCTTCAACCATAGAAACGGTTGTACCACTGCACAACTCGCTGCAGCTCGTGAGTGCTGGCGTCTCATACTTTCGTTCTTTCGTCTACGGTATATGACCTCACATAACGATGTTTCTATTTACTGGGCGATATTATAGGTGGCCCAACTACGACATGGAATATTAATCAGCCACGCCAACAGATAAGCTTTTGTCGCTCTTATGTGACTGAAGAATGCTAGTGCGAGGACGATACGTTGAGTCCGCAATTTTAACTTGTTTTGTGTTGCAAAGTAGAAGATTTGCTTCGACATTTGAAGACGATACAGAAGCTAATTATACTCTTTGACAGCCATACTGTAATGGAGCAACCTCTTATGCATACTTTCGTACAATCAACCTTCACTGATAATAGTGAAAGCAGGTGCCTCAGAATCTCTCTTACACAAAGAGATTTAAACTGTGACGAAGTACAAGACATCGTGCCCCTGATTCTAGTGTGGCGCATCGAACAGTTAGTCGAATGATGCTGGGACGCATCGTTACAGTTGAGGTATACCTACTGGTATACACTGTAGATTCTAGTCTAACAGAGAGGGTTGTCACCTATGAGGTTTTTCCCTCCTCAATCCCAAAGTTGCTCAGTGGAAAGCAAGTGTTTTGTGTGTTGTGTTCCCTACTCTGTATTGTTAACCCTACAGAACGGCAACACTCACCTGCGCAGTGTGATAAGTGAGTGTGACAGGTTATGAGCCCAAGTCTTCTTGCACTGTCCAAATAACATATTAACACAATGTCTGAAGTGAGTGAAATGTCATCGAACAATACAGCCACTAGTGATGTGTTGACGAGCGTGAGTAATGTTACGACCGCTGTCAGTACTGTGACGTCTGGTATTGCACCTAGTCGTGGCCAAGAAAGGCTTAGCGTATACGCTTGTGTGGAGAAGTGCCAGAGAAATGGGGGCCCTTCGTAGTTATTATATTAATTGGCGTGAAAGATCTCGGTCACTCTCTTGAAAAGAGTGACAGGGAGTGACCAGGGCCTTGAACTAGTCCAAGGTCCCGAGTTCGGAGAAGGTACCAGGTTTCCCTACACTACAGCCCGAAGGTCCAGTGCCGCTAGGACAGCTTAGGTTGACCCCAGGTGACCGGTGTACCCCAGGTGACAGACAACAGGTGGACCCCAGGTGATCGGTGGACCCCAGGTGACCGGTGGACCCGAGAGCGACAGGTGGACCCCAGAGCGACAGGTGGACCCCAGCTGACAGGTGGACCCCAGGTGACTGGTGGACATAGGTGATCGGTGGACCCCAGGCGACCGGTGGAACCCAGGCGAACGGTGGAACCCATGTGACAGGTGGTGTAACGGGGCTAGAACGTACCGTCACTAGCTTACACGTGCGCTTGAGGAAGACTCAAGCCCGAGTATTAGGTATTAAGTAAATTTAACTCTGATTTTTATTTTGGTTTTAATTCGTACTAATTACGAAGATTTTAGTCGTAATAAATACGACAGTGTTCCCGCCTTTCGGGAACCACACAATTTCAGGTTGATTTATCATTGGTCCATATTGGGGACTTTAGGCCCAATAATAAACCAATAATAAATTACCACGCTGTGCCCGCTATTCGGGCCCAGCACCTGCCTACATATGTAATTGTTTATTTGTGTTAATGCTATATGTGTAATGTAGCCCATTACATCACCCCCTTCTCATGACAGCACTCACCAACCGTGAGTGCTCAACTGTCGAAAACCCTTCGCCCACAAACGAATAAGCAATGTCCGGAGACCCAGAACCCAATCCAGCAGGACGCCCAAGATACATCAGCGGGAATGCATCAACCAGCATCATGGCGCGGCAGCTCATACCTTGGTCGCTGTACGACTTGTCCGGAGCTCACGCTCCGGACTCACTGGACATGATGCGGGAATACTTCCGCCGATTTCGAAAACTGCGCGGGAAAGGTCTTGATGGAATCGAGCATGAAGCTCTACAACGTTCTTGGTGCGCCTTCATCCAACGTTGGAATCGGATGCTCGAGGATGGTAGCAGCTTCCAGTTATGGCTCGCCAATCGAGAGGAACTTCGCGCCGATCACTCCATCGTCGCGCTACGCGAAAGAGTGTGTGAGGAAGCTTGGAATGAGGACCGTCTCTGCTTCGTCCATGTCAATGAAGGATGTCAATCTTGTGACTCGACTCCACGCCCAACTCATGACGAATGGCGACGACACATCGCTGAGTGTCCACTCAGCGATCGCGAACGAAGTTGGATTGCAAAGTATGAGCGAAGTCTGAGCGAACGGAGAAGCGCAGTTATTCGTGGTGCGCCTCGCTGGCAGCACCACTCGCGACAGCGGAGTCAATCTCCGCGGGATCATCAGCGCAGGGCAGCGACACGTTCGCTTGTCCGTCCTGCTTCGCGATTCTCGCCTCGCAATCGTGATATGTATTCACCGCGACGTTCTCGTTCACGGCGTCGTTCTCGTTCGCGACATCGTTCTCGTTCTGGTCATCGTTTCCGTTTCCGACAACGTGAATCTCCTTACCGCTCTCGTTTGTCACGAGAGCGTTCGCGTGCTCGCCCGCCTTGGAATAGTCCGACTTCGTGGCTTCATACGACAGAACCACATCTGGAACGTCACGAAGGAGCGAGGAACGTGGTTCCCATGTATCCTGCTCGGGAGGGAATCCAAGCCAACGTACTCGGTACCTACGCACGGATGGAACCGCACGCTTCTCATGAGCCGACTGCAGTAATGGTTGTGGAGGGTCCTCGTGACCCACAATGCGGTCTACAATCCAGCGCACCTGTCCCTCCGCATCAACAAGCGGAGGAGGGCCCTCGCGGTGGTAGAGCTGGCGTCCTGGTTGCTCAGGACGATGTTGATCAGGCCGTGAATATAGCTGCCGATGCTCGGCTGGAGGCTGAGGCTGCCAGTGAACGTGCTGCCCAGGCGGAGAAGACTTCGAGTGAGACCCGGCAGTCGAACCGTGAACTGCTCGAGCGGATAAGGATTCTGGAGCGCCAGATGCTTGGTCAGGTTCAGACGGGATCGAGACCCCGCCCCATGTCATCGGCGCGTCGAGCGCGACGGGAAGGCCGTTCGACTTACGAACCCCTGAAGCCGGCGTCGGAGCCAAACCGTGAAGAGTAGCCGGACGATATTCCTTCAGCCGCCCGACATAGAATGTCGGGTGGAGTCGCAGTGAAGAGGGGACGTCGAGTGTATAAGCGTCGCCAATTGCCTTCAGAACCTTGAATAGACCGATGAAGCGTGGCGCGAGTTTACTCGCGCCCAGATTAGTGACCGCAGAATCCCTTAAACCTTCCGTAAATAATATAACACGATCACCCTCCATAAACTTGCTCATGTTCTTTCTTCCATGTTTGTCAGCGTTCTCCTTCTGTTGGTCTACAGCAGTTTGTAGTGCGTCGCGTACAAACCTGGTGATGGCTTGACGTTGGAGTATAAATTCCGACACGGCCATGTCATCAATTGGTCGCGCCGACTCAATCGGCGCGTAGTTGGCAGTAGGGGAACGTTTACCCGAAGACGGGTCAATCAATGTCTGCGCAGTCCATCGAGCTAATGGGGAAGCCACGTCTGATGGCGTCAAAATGGCCGTCTTTGCCTTGGATCGTGTTACTGCATTCGCGCTCAAAATACCGTGAGCTGCACTTGATCCTTGTTTATCACCTTTATCCCCCCCCCAGAGTGGAGCCACTAGGTGTTGTGGGTCGCCCCACGGCCAGGACAGTAGGAACACGAGGGTGACGAGCCTAATTTACAAATAAATGGCGTCAACCCTGTTGACGCGTGTACGGCGTTGTTGAGTGCGAACTCAGTGAGTGGTAAAAATGCACTCCAACTTGTAAATGACGTAGCATAACTCCGAAGAACATCTTCGAGGACTCGGTTCACGCGCTCGGTCTGCCCATCCGTTTCCGGATGGGATGCCGTCGACATCAGCAGTTTTGTCCCGAGGAGCTCGAAAAGTGATGTCCAAAATGCGGACGTAAATCGCATATCACGGTCCGAAACAATGTTTTCTGGAAGGCCATGATGACGGAACACCGCGTCGATGAAGTGCGCCGCGGTCTCTGCCGCGGTGACCTTAGCGTGAACAGGCACGAGATGTGTCATCTTGCTGAATCTGTCGACAAAGACCAAGATGCCCGTTCGAGCTTGGCTATCGGGCGCAAGCCCGAAGATAAAGTCCATCGAAACTGATCTCCAGGCCTCTGCTGCAATTGGCAACGATCGCAAGGGAGCCTGTGACGATGGAGATGGCTTCACACGCTGGCATATTTCGCTTGTTCGGATCCAGTTGCGTACCCACTTATACATGTGGGGCCAGAAGAAGTCTCGAGACACAGCCGCGAAAGTCTTTTCGCGGCCTAAATGGCCGCCAGCAGGAGCATCGTGATACTCGTGAATGATTTTTGCACGCAAATCCATGTCATTGGCAATCACCGTGCGAGGAGAATCGAATTGGTCGATGCTATACAGCAGCAAATCGCCATCTAAACTGTATCGATGAATATGGTCGCGCTTGGTACGGGATAATGCTCCCAGTGCAGCATCGCTGGGAGCACGCAGATACTCGATAATGTCTGCATAATCTGAGTCACCCTTGTACGCTGCGACGATCTCATCAAATAAACACGGCTCGGGTGTAACCCGAGTTAAGTTCAGCGATACACACATTGCACATCGGTCATCATCGTCCTCGTCATCAGTAGCCTGGCGACTCAGAGCAGTCCGAGGATCGTAATCGGGACGTCGTGACAAGGCGTCAGCGAGAATATTGGTCTTGCCTGGCTTGTAATGCACGACGAAGTTGTACTCAGAGAAGAATGAGAGCCATCGTGACATCCGTTGGGACAGGTGTGGGCTCTTCATCGCTGTGCGCAGCGATGCATGATCGGTGTACAAAGCAAACGTACTTTCACCAAGGAGATGCACGCGAATCTTGATGAGTGCATAGCGCATCGCTAATAACTCCTTGTCGTGAACCGGATAGTTCTTCTCAGCTGGCTTCATCTGTCGCGACTGATAACTCACGACTCGTTCACGGCCCTCATCATCAAATTGCATGAGGGCACAACCGATTGCAAAATCACTGGCGTCGCAAACCACGTGGAACGGCTTGGAATCGTCTGGTAGGACCAGGACTGGCGCTGACGCTAGGCTCTT